AGTTCTTGAGCAATTTGTTGAAAACAAATTATAATTATTTAAGACTGCTGCGATTGATAACAAAGGGACATTTAAAAATACATATTTAGGCCTAGGTCGAATCGAAGCTAGTTGAGTTTGATATGTACAGTGTATTAGTAATTGAAGGTGCAGCACAATTTTCTTTACTCCATCTATGCTTATTAATGTAAGTTTCCATCAAACTTTATTTTCGTCTGACTTCATGTTCCCTGATTTCCAAATAAAGTCTGTCCACCGAGTCTAGTACTCATGTAACGGTCCATTAGGATTCAGTTTGCATCATCTGTTCTATGTGGTATATATGTGCATATCTGTCTGCCTCGTCAAGGGCACCTATTATTCCTGATAAACCTCTCAAAGGGGTCTACAATCTTCTTATTTGAGTAAGGTCAATAACTGTATTGTATATTCACATTGAGATGGAGACCTCTAGGGGATTTCTCAATTATAACAAAATGAGAATTAGGTTTAATGGTTTGGAAATCGATTTATAAACTACCTCCCTCACATTTTCTTTCCATGGTAAGCAAGATAAATTGAGATGAATAGATATTATTTTCATCTCAGATTAAAAGGAAAGGCTGCTGTGATTAAAAAGTCAATCCCGAATGACCATACATTCCTTGCAGGAGTAAAGGCCATTGATCTTTCTATTCCCAAAGATTTGTTTTAAAGAAAATAATAATACAGAGGTTGTTTGTCAAAATGGTTTCCTGAAATTCTCATTGTGGTTCTATGGTCTGGCTAGATGTGGTTAAATCAACACATTCTCCATAGGGTTTCCCATGACTGCAATGTCTGCTTTCATTTTCCAGTCCTGTGAATATAATTATGATTCCATAATGCAGCATAGGTAAAGAGAGTATGTGTAATGCGATATGATATGTACAAATGACCACAACAACCATCTTTAGCAGTAGACTGTCTAAGTTTTTATTCTCAAGAAAACTCTTTAAAATTCAGACATAGTTCATTACTTTTTCAAAATTTCTTTCATAATGGTTTTCAGAGAAAAATAAATATATCAGAGCTCGACATGAGCAGGTGCCCAGGACACATGGGGGCCCAAACAAAATCTCAGTCTGGACCCCCAACATTTCACTTTTTGTACACAGAGCTTATGCATTCAAACTCTAACAATCTGAATTCGGACCCCTTCTTAAAAAGTGAGTGTGGAGCCCTGAAAATATTAATAAATAATTTGCATACCGGTAATGGTTTTGCCCTAAATGTAGAGAAATTTCATTAAAATTTGTGGCCAATAAGGCAAGTGTGAATGTGAATGTTTTTTTTTCTCATTAAATCTTTGTGAATGCTTGTTGATGTGAAAGTGCCCCAGTTACACCAAATGAAATATCCAAATTACCCGTCATAACCAAGAATCTGTCATTTTGCACTCGGTTTGGAGTTAGTTTGGCAGTGTGACTGAGGTTTTGAGTGTGAATATAGCTGATATGATGGTGATTGAATTTCGAGGAAGTAAGCAGACTGGAACTATTCTTTGGTCCATTAACTTGATGGGTTGGATGGAGACTTGACTCTTACTCAATCATATCATCATGCTTCATATACCATCATTAACCTCCTCCATTATATTATCATTCAGAGTTACTTTGAGAAACTGAAGATCGATCAGTAATGTAGCATTTTCTTTCTGTTGCTGTGAGAGCATTTGATTTATGGCTTAAGCCTTAAGCGTTTGTTATCCTTTTTGAAAAATATGTTTCATAAAGTAAAGTAGCATGGGCGTCTGACTACTTTCCTTTATTTCATTTCAGACAAAACATTTTGCCTTCAATTATTATCACTTTCTGCCTGTGACCTTTGTAAATCAGACTGTATTGATTCAAAGGCTATTCTCCCATAAGTATTCAGGTTTCTATACCCTTCTTCCTACCCTTGAAGTAATTTGATATTTTCAATTGAGCGAGTATTTGAGGGGTGAATTTGGTGATTGCATGTGTAATTCAATTGAAATGACATCTCTCTGCAAGGGACCTTATGGTAGCCTCAGCTCGGCCTGCTGATGTTTTGCATGCTTACTGCTCAGTTGCATACCCCTCAAGAGGGACTGCGTCTCTTCTGTGATATACATGTATTTAGGCTTACCGGTATACTGCTTTCGCATTTGCCTAGTCTGGATTGAGTTTGTTTTTTTGTTTACCAGTCTGGCACTGAAATTGACATGATAGATGATGAAGTGACATCCAATGTACATGAATATATATACAAAATAGATAAGACTACCAGTGTTTGGCATTTTCATTGTATAGCAATGATAATGTTCTATGTTTGAAAAACAAGCTACACGTACATGTAGGTAACACAGATATAAATCTGATATTCTTTCTGGATAGTTTTGTCTAAATGAAGAGGACCCATTCCTGATCTTGACATACTATTTGATTTGAAGAAGCCTTGGTAGTGAGAGGTTAAATAAAGAGATTGGTCATTACCATACCACAGCTGATGAACATGTCATCCCTTATTTACTCCGCATCACGTACATAGGACTTTGATCCTAATTTTCAGCCAGGTCCATTGTTTTAAGTTGATCACGATCAAAGAAAAGAGTCGTATAATCGGTCTAAAAATGCCTGTATGTATGTCCATTGGTTAATTACCTGCAATTCATCTACATTGTAGTATCCAGTAGGCTTTACTGCACCCTTCCCTGCAATCGTCAGAAGCATCCTTTTAATTTTGATGCGTTGCAGATCATTTTCCAACCCTATGCTACCGTTTCGCTCCTAATTTATCTATGATATGGCAATGATTACTACACAATGTCCACATGGGACATCATAGTAATCACATTGTCCTTCAGATAATGTGATCATTTGTGATGTGTTCCAAAGCTAATGCTCAGAAGTCCAGAGAATGCAGTGACATGTTTGTAATGTCATGCAATCAATGGGAGATGATGATTAGTTTTTCTATCAAATGAAAATAGACCTTGATAGATGTAATGGATTTTGCCAAGTATGTGATGTGATGTAAATAAACATGAGGTCATCCCCTTTGACCTTTGATCGTTGACCTTGTTTGCAAAGGTCGGTAGAAGTTTTGTAATGGAATGTGATTGAATAGATATAACATGCTGTCATTCTTAATCATTGATCAGCATTGAGATGTAAAAACTAGGCAAGGGAAGGAATGTGGAGTTAAGCCTAGGGAGGGAAACAAGAAACGTATACATATATTATACTTTTATGAATTCCATTAGTGGCCGAGATTTAAATGAAAAGAATTCAATTTCATCACACAATTTTCATAATTCACAGAAATCTCCTTGCTGCATCTCTAGCAGTCATCAACAATATCAGAGCAAGTTTCGTGACGCAAAGTCTTCAGGTTTTACAATTCTCTTGATCTAAACTAAATAACTGAAATTACTTGGTCATTCAGAAAAGTAAGCAACAAATTGATAAAGCTGAAGATGCATTAGATCACACCCAAGGCCTAACTGGCAGATAAATGGTTTGATTCAGATAAGATAAATAGTCTATGGTCCAGACTTGTCTAATGATAGGGATATGAGGACTGAATAGCCAGACTGTATACCTAGCTAGAGAAGAATAAAGTTTCACATACCAAGTCTAATCCAAAGCAGCTCTATCAGGTCTCAAGTTCTACATGGTTCTATCCAGGTCAGGATCTAAACTCAACATCTGGTAGCTTTTACCTTTACCCAGGTAGATAGCACTGTTTACTCCCCCTCCCCCACTACCCCCTCCCTCCCCCCTCCCTCCCCAACTTCACTAGACAGACATAAACTGTACAATGTTTTGTTTTGTTTTTGTACAATGACTCTATATAGGCATTGCTGTAGGAGAGATGATTAATTTGGTCTCACTTGAATTGTAGAAGAACTCTATGAAGAATCATGGCTGAAATTTGGTGTGTTCATGATGTCTGTATAGGTGAACAGGGCTTAGCAAAATTTCTCTATGCAGAAAATGGTCCTTCACTGGTACTTATTAGTATTACCACATTTTTGTACTAAATTTCAGTAATGCACCTTTGGTTAATTTTTTTTTTCTGTGTTTGGACATTCAATGCAATTTAAATATATCCTGTGCATGTATGTGGTGTCAGAACAGACAGAATCAAGACATGCTGTGTACCTGACATACAAAACAGGTTAAGCAATTTAAAATTGCTATTTTCTTTCGGTTGGTTTTGATCTTGTTCTTCCTATCATTACCAACAAAATTATCTTAGGAATTCAGGATAGAATTATTTGAATGGCAGTTTCACCTCATCTTATTTCATGTACATACATGAAGTAATTTTCACTGTATGAAAACCAAAATGTTAACTGTTTTATTTCATTGCGAGTGGAAGCTGCCGTCATCTTCCATTATAAGCAATCAAGATCTTGATAAAGGCAATGAGTTTGTAACATTTAGGGATTGGTCAATGAAGTGAAAGTGACGCAAGCAGCATGATACCGTGACTCACTTACACAGAAACACAACCTCCAAATTATCCTCTTTATGTTGTCGGCTTGTTTGACACTTGAGGGGTGGGTTACGCAGCGTTCAAATCACAATTGGTATCCAGTGAAGCTCGCCTTTCAAATTAGATTAATCTCATCATAAGATTCCCCTGTAATTCTCATCGACAACTCTAGTCTTTGTCACCCAACTCCAAGTCAACATCTTTGGAGACACGCTCTATGTCTTTGTGATCTGACTTAGAATAAGTTGTGCTTTGATAAAAGCTCAAACATCTGAAAATGTAACAAATCAAATCACTTTATGATGCACTTTGATTATTTTTCACCATTGAAGCATTGAACGGAATGCCAAAACTATGTGCTACAATTGTCAACAAATTACTAACCTGAGCACTTTCATTTGACTATTGCATTTAAATGTTTATTAATATAGTTACCATATTCAATGCATGATATGTTAACTAATGGAAGCATGAAAGTAAATATAATAGCATGCTTGCCTATGTTAATATTGCAGGGATCTCAGAAGAGTTACGTGTGCAGCTGAACAGACCCAATCTACCGGAGGATGTAGAAGAAGGGGGTAAGGTTACCCTCATCTGTAGGGCTAGCGGTAACCCCGTACCGATGGTCACCTGGTATCATGACCAAACACCAGTCGTCGCTGGTTCCAACGTTGATATCAGCGGTACTAGGCTGAAGATCAAGAGCGCCACACCCCTGGATAGTGGTATCTATTCCTGCATGGCGACCAATGTAGCAGGCTCCATGCCCAGCACAGAAAATGTCCAGTTTAACATTGTTGGTAAGTTCGGTGAGATTTCTGTAAATCTAACACAACATCCTTCTCATTAAATTAATTTGATAATGCTTAGAATTGGGAATGCTGGAATATAGAAAATGTAATATTGAAAATCCTTTAAATGAATATTAAATGAGGTTTGATGGTGATTTTTATATTTTCGCATCAAAGTACCATTGACGAAAATTCTTTTAAATAATTTTATATTTCTTATTTTATTTAGGAAGGATAGTTATTGTTGACTTTTTCTTCTTCTTCTAATAGTGGTGAATTAAATAAAGCTTGTATAATTTATTATGTAAATGTAAATAGAAACTACAAGGGGAGATGGGGGAAGACAAAGAAGACGTAGAATTGTGCTCATTCACTATTAGCTATGATGTGCGTCAATATGAATGAATTATCTAGTAGCATGGCTTTCTCTTCATACTCATAGTGTTCAGAATGGTCGGTTTTATGATCGATGTATGAATCATCTCTCCCTGCCTCCCTCCCTCCCGTTGCCTGTGGTATTCAGTCTGTGACACAGCCTTTAGCCAGCTAACCTGATAAAGAACAAGAATGAAATGTTTCATAGAATGTCAGAAGGTCATGAGCAGATATGACGATCAGATATGACTGTCTGTGATGCGGCTGGGTGCTTTGAAGTCTGTTATTTGTTGTCTTAGGTAGAATCTAGACATGATTCAGCTTGGCGCTTTGAAGAAGTGGGAAGCTGTTATCATATTGCAGATTCTTGGTTCATGTTATGATGCCATTAGGCAAAGACTTGCAGCATATCTTAGATTGGTTATTGCACAGTTTTTACACAGAGCATGATAATCTTATCTTATGTATGTCATACATTCATATATTTCTTGACATTAAAGCTAATTTTGGAATTATAGAAAACAGAAATGCAGCAGTCATCTAGGGCCATATTCAATTCAGTATGTGGATTAAGTCAGTATTTTACTTAGCATTTAACTAGGCAAATTAATAATGTCCTAACACATATTTAGATCACAACTGAGCATTTTAAGACAACATACTTACTGATAAGCTTTGTGACATCACATGACCAATCCAAAGTAATGCGCAATTAACGGGTCACATTGAATGCGCTAATATAATTGTGTGCAGCTTATAATGACTGCATATTTAAACCTATTTGTAAAATAATCACGTCATTTATACATTTCTGATTTTACAAAGAGTATTGAGTATTGAAAAGATTGCAAAGCGGTAGCAGTTGTTACTTCTGTAAGTCTTTTATGATTAAAGATGAGCATGAGAATTATTCTCCTTCTTGAAAAGTTTTAAGATGAAAACAAATTCTTTGTTTATCATCTTGGCTGAGGAGTGGTTTTCAAATTGCTTATCTGAAAAAAAATATAATGCAACAAATTTTTATTTCTAAAAGTGCAGAGAAATCAATGAAGCTTCCAGCTGTCATAACTGGTGTTACCAGCTAATTAGGTCAGAACCGTTATATGGCTTAATATCTGACAGACTTTAACCCAAAGGATACTATCTAGTGATGTGGCTCAGTGATGTATTGATCAGTATTCAACCAATCAATATCAAGCATTAGTTCTGCTCTACTATCTACATGACAACTCGCTCGCTCATTTTTATGCTTGTCGCTAAGAGGCTGGTAGTGCAAATATCTACTGCACAGGGGTGTCAAATCAAATTGAATGAGATCCACCGAAGGGTTGTCTTGTTATGAATCATACTTTTTCATGATGTCTGTATCAGCAGTTATCTTTGTTTACACACATGAATTATATTTTCATTAACAAATAGACAGCTCTCAATTATCACAATTCCCTCCACCTGTGAGTACATTAGTCAATCTAAATACAGATATCTTTATCATAAAGAAAGATTGGAAGTATTCCAACAGAAGAAGTGGTAGATGAGATGTCACATCCTCATACATTGATATTAAGTAAATATTGCATGCTTCCCAGTTCCATGTCACATAATATATGATAACAATTTGTAGTCTGGAGTGAATGTGTTTTATTTAAATGCATGAACTGTACAGTATTTTTCATGCAAAATGAAGGGCATTTTTTAATCTCATGCTTCCTCCTTCTCAAGTCATCTCTTTCAATAATTAAAGGTAAAGACCAGTCATGGTCATGCGATTGCATTGTGAAAGAAACGTTGCGGAATCGATCAAAAAAGGTTGATCATCTAGCATCTAGCATCTGCAAGGTTCTGGAATCATCAAAATGATAAGAAATTTGGCCCTTTCTTTGTAAAGTTACAAGCACTATGCACAGAAAGATGTATATAGGACTACCCTATATCTCTCACAGACCATGAGAGAAACAAATTTACCAAATAAATGAATTAGTAGGCGGTTTCCCGGCAAATTTTGTATCATCATGTATTAGTCAAAACATATTCTTTCACATGATTGGTAATGAGAGCTTCCATTTCATTTTTTGAAATTGGGGCGTTTCCAATACTGGTCTTTACCTTTAATGAAAACAATTAAACAATGGGTATGTGTAGTCGAGCATGGATATGCAATATAATCTTTTGTACATGCACTACATGAATACCATGCAAAAATTACACACTCATGCACATTTCACAAATTATAGTATCGCATGATAGAATATCGATCAGCTAATAGGATACTTTGTAACAACAAATACCCTAAGTTACATGTATATTGTTATATGATGCATGACAGGGGAAAAATTGGTATCATTGAATTTAAATTGGAGAAAAAATGGGATTAAAACATGCTTGGTATCTAAGAGGATATATATTTTAGATGGAGCGTCAGGCTTTTATAGCAGATGTTTAGTTATGCAGTAAGCAAATAATAGAGCAATACAAAGGAAGCATAAGTAGAAACATAATATTAATAAAACAGGGATGATTAATAAGAAAGCCTTTCAATTAAAAGTGTTTTCATTAAACGTACCAATATAAAGGGCTGTAACCCTAAATCAGGTGGATGTACATTACACTTAATAATAGTAATAATGTGCGAGCGTAACCGTTATCGCTACGAAGGGACAAGAACGTGAATATAACGGTGTGTGTGTGTGTGTGTTGATGTGAATGACCTGCTTCTTCCTCAGGCTATTCTTCAAGTTCTTTATCTGCCTCCTCTGTGAACCAAGCAGCATCTTGGAGGCAGGTCCCTGGGTGATAAAATGGCCATTAAAAGGGGCAATTTGCATTGAAATGACCTGTATGCTTGGTATTTTGGCTGGGATATTGAGTGTCAGAGATGAAACCCTTTGTGTTGGAGAACTGCACAGCAGAGTTCATAACAAAGCATATTGGACACAATGTTTTTTATGTTTCTTTTTTCCAATCAATCATTTATTCAAACATCCATTTCTATTACAATATAACTCTTATAAAGTTATTCATAAACTTTGGAATACTATTTAATCTCACATATATATGTATTTTTTTTTTTTTTAATGGACCATTTTATTCAAAAAGAAAAAGAAGGAGGAAACAATGATCAATCTACCCTTGCATCATAGGAATAATACAAGCCATACTATGAGGGAATTTGTATAGTACTTTAACAGGGTTTAGATGCAATATTAACCTACTCGATATAAGTGAATCCTCTTAAAATTGTTCTTATAATATGAAGATTTTGCTGTTAATATTTCTTTTTCCTGAATTGAATAATTTCAGCACGAGTAGAAATCATTAATATGCAAATATAACTTGTGCAAAATTCTAGAACATCTGATAATGCATCCATCAATATCTTTATCTGTTGAAGCAGTTTAAATATATATCTAGACTATCTGTCTTCTTTTTTTGGTCGGGCTCGCTACAGTTGTATGTATTATATCAAATATGAGCCTCCATGCATGCAATCCTATCCCATCAAATCTAGGGAATATGTGTATACATGCATTGAATGCTTGAATATATTTTAGTGTTAGCTACATGTTATTGTTACTTGAGACGGCCTGGCTCTATGCAAGTAGACATGGTGATACAGTATCCAATATTAGATGCGTGTCTCTGCATGCTAAAATGAGCTAACAAATGGACCCTTTCTTTAGAGAAAAAAAACCTGAAGAAAACAACAAGATATTTAGTTCTTCAATGCAAACATTTTACAGTTCTGCCAAAATTGTTTATTATTTTTAAGATGTGAAACATTTATAAGAAAGAATAAAAAGGGCTCACAATGTGTGATATATTGTGTTGGTAAATAATTGCTACTGGTAAGTCAATTGGTTAACTTCATAGCTGCATAACAATGATGATAATGCTGAAGAATAGCATTGCAGAGACTTTGGATAACAGTTACCATGTAGGAGTAAGAATGGTTCTGATTGAATGTATGCAGCAGCAGCTGAGTGTTGTGAGTCAGACATCTCCATAGATGTTTGTGGTGGAGAGCAGCCATATATTAAGGAACCCCCTACCCAGGTCTTTAATCTACCTCGGCTCAAAAGAAACCTGAGTCTTCCCCCATCAATCCAAATTTAAAGCTTATTACACTTTCCTCCATGTTCTCTGGTCTAGTCCCGGTCCCAGAGAATGTATAACAACCATGTTAAATCCCATTCCTCATCAATTTGCATTTACCTAGGGAATAGAAATTGGAGCGTTTAGGATTTAGAACTTGTTAGGGTCTCATGCCAGTTCTCTCAATCCAATGGGGGCAGCCAGCGGGGCAGCCAGAGGGGTAGCAGGATGGCAGCGGTACCGATGTTTGTTAGGCTTGCAGTTCCCCTTCATTGATGGGAGAAAGATGCCCTCAGGCAGGGAAGGCTTACTCATGCTTGGGGTAAGATGCGTTTAGAGTCCAGGTTACCCAACCGGTTGCAAACATTTAATGTATGCCTCGGTTGATAAGTCATGCTCAGCGGAGTATGTGCCTGTATGTCAGCCATGTCATATTTTGGAAGGCAATTGTAACGATAATGGGCGGAAGTACGCTCTATACCGCATGCGCTCAATCTCCTGCGTGTTGTGCTGAGTGGTTGTTAAGCAAGTCTATCCATTTTGCATGATTAAACCAGACAAACATCCCCTCTCTATTGAATCTGACAGTCTGTACCCGCCTATGGACAAATTTAAGAGATGGACATTTTTCAGCCATTTTTATTGCTTCAAAAAGGTCAACATAATTTATATGCACAGTGTCTGTGATTCAAAATAATTTTCCAATTTATTCCACCTACAATTGCAAGAGTTTTACATTTTTGTTCTGAAGGAATGTTGTTTGTTCCGGTGATGGAATTGTATGTGATCACTGATTAGTCACGAAGGTATTTAATAAATTCAGTGAATCAATCATTTCTAATGTGTGAACAATTAAAACATTATCTACAAACTATTTACAATAAAAACACTATTTACAATAAAAACCCATGTTCTGTAGATTGCCTTGCTACTTGTTCTGCTACTTGTTTTGTCAAGCACTTTATTTGATTAATTGGTCTCATCATTACCACAATATCAGCCATTAGTACTAGTCAGAGAGAAACAAAAGGTAGCGCTGAAGAGTTCACATGCATATAATATGCTCTGTATGATACATGAATATTTCAATATTTGTGCACATTACTTTTAATATAAATGGATTGAATCATTCAGGTTTATTCTAGCAGTATATGCATATGATTGCATTAAAGAGTCATCAAACTTTTATTATTTCTTGTATTTTGTTTATAACAAAATCATTACAGATTCTTCCTTCAATGGAAATTAAATCAGTGTTATATCTGTAATATGGACTTTGTTATGTTTCATTTAAAATGTGAGGAACAAGTACCATATATATGTAGAGATGAACATTGTTGGAAATATTGCCCTCTTTATTTTATCCTGCTCCGATGTCCTATTTGACATTTAGAATGTTGAATATATTTGTGACTCACTCTTGGGGTACTCCCTCCACCTCCTTCCCCTTTCATTTTTTATCAAATTCTCTCAGATTTCTGTGGAATAGTGCATATACTTGTCTCACTTCTTCCGACCCGTACATGAATCTTTCATGATACCATGTACTCACTCTCTTTCCAATATGCCTTTTAGTACTCGCGTCATAGAATAGATGACCCCCCCCCCCCCCCCCCACTATATATGAGTCATGGGCCTGTAAGGCCTTCTTCTGGCTCTCAAACGCACAACTCCAAGACGTCAATAGGATATTTGAGTGTGCTATTCATCTCAAAAGTAACTTACACCATCCATGTTTCGGATCATTTTCTCCATTTCTTCATCATGGATTTTTATTGAGAGAGGGATCTGATTCTATTGAATTAGTTTGAATGAGCATGGTAACCTTGAATTCTTGAAATCATTTCATCCAGAGTTCATAAACCACTCAATTCAATTATGTCCTCTATCACATGGAGAAAACGTGTTTCCAAATTTGTTATTATGAAATGCAAACAACAGATAATTGGCTGTTCCGTCTGCGGTTAGTTTCATTGTCCATGCTATTGAGTTATTTGGGAATGATAAAAAAAAACACTTGGTATTGTGTGCTTCTGTATGTTTGGTTGGGGAGGTATAGATATTGAAGTACATTGCTTCTTTGTCTAATGGTCCCTTATGAATATTTTTCAACTGTAAATGTTAAAGTTGTTTCAATTTTTTTGCTTTACTACATCAACTGTTTCTTTTCTGTATCTAAAAGTGCATATGCATTTTTTAAGTGTCCTATTTTTCAAAGATTAGGAGACTTATTCATGTTTTAAAAAATAATTGTGGATCATAAAGTCAACTAAACAAATTGCCGGCATCCTATGGGTTAATGCCTAGAGGAGTTGATGTAGAAGATATACCATAAATCCTCCATAGAGAACTCAAATCCGATGGGTTCAATGGGTTCTTGGGTTCAATGCATGCTCAGGACTTTCTAAAGTCGAAATGTAATTGGGTTCCTTTCATGTCTTGTTTAAATGATGTGGTTGAATCTTAGATATTTATTCAGTCATCTGTCTGAGTTGGATTCAAACCTACGTTCTTTGGTTCAACAAGCAGATGCTTTACTGACTCACTTGCCTCCTCCTCATCTAGAAGTTACCTAGATCAGGGAAGACTTGCCAATTTGAGAACCTCTTTCATAGTTATCCCCATTGGGTTGTATTTAATCATATGTGATTTTTCCCCCTTCTTGATACAGATTCCAATACTCCGGTCGTTGAAGTAGCACCTACCGATGCCATACGTGTTCTAGGAGATTCCATCATGTTCCATTGCCAGTTCAGTGGAGACCCTACACCACCGGTAGAATGGTATACTACTAGCAAGGCTGGTGGAGAAATCCCTCCACAACTCATGAATGACACTGAAACTGGGTGAGTTACTTGTCATCATCAAATCTTATTAGACTTCACAGAATGCATCCAGCCTGTGATGTCTGGGTGTTTAATATGGAAGAATTTTAATTCTTATCTTATGTAACAGTCACATGTAGAGGTGTAAGACAATCATACCATAAAACCTCTTGTTACCCTTCCCAAATAACTTTCTTGAACATGACCATTTTCTCTCTTTAAAGCCCCTCTAAATCCCCTTTTAAAGTGTTGAGAGCCCCAAATTTGCCAAAAGAATACATGAATTAGGTTGTTTTTTGTTGTATGTAGAAAACCGAACTTGTGTATTTTTTCATCAATATTTGACTTGAGAGTCAACATATTTGTTTTGAAAAGTTTTGAATGGCAGCCTCTTTCACATTATGATACAATTTAGGTGAAATTTTTCCATCAAATTTTTAGGGCTCCCAACACTTTAGAGGGGCTTTAACTGCACAAATTGTCTGTATTTATAAAAATCAGTAGCATACACCATTAGTTCTACTTTAAGAAGTAACATGATATGGTAGAGAAGTTATTTTACTTTCTCATATCTTTATGATTATTGTTTATCTCTCTCTGACCTTTCTTTTTTTGTCTTGTCTATCTGTTAGGACGTACATCATAGGTAATGGTAGTTTGAGTCTGGCCAATCTAACGGCCGGTGATGAGGGCGAGTTCCAGTGTGTATGTGACAGCCCTCATGGACGACCGTTTGCCAGCGCCAGGCTGACCATAGCAAGTGAGTATCTCTGTTTAGGATTTAGATACCGGTAATTCAAACAGGTTATTTCCAAATGTTGCCAATTTGGCTTCATAGAGCAAGAGGTGTGTGTACTCTTTGTCCATGAGGGCATAGAGGTGTCATAGTCGAGTGGTCTAGTCACTTCATTTGGAATGCAAAGGTTTGATCCCTGGCACAGGCACGTATGTACTTGAGAAAGGCAATTTATCTACATTTCTCCTTCCACCATGGTTTTAAATAGGTGGTAAGTGGGTACCTGGCAGGATGCAATGATCAATGTCGTTAGATTAGCATGTATGCGTCTGTCAACAGCACGACTGGCTGGAATGCTCTCAAGGGAGGCGAGAGTGTACACTGTAAATTGCAGGATGGTAACAGCATCAAGTGACTGGGGTAATAATACTGTATAAGCTCCTTGCTCAAATAAGCTGTAATTGGTAAAGCACTTAACAATAAGAAACAGTTATTATTGATATTATTGTTATTATTAAAATATAATTCAATTTAATAACAGTTTACTCCTAGTAGCCAATAAATTTGGATAGCCAGAATTTTTTAAAGAGGTCCGCATCAAATGCGCATTTTATGCAGGAATGCAATCCCTGGAATTTTGCTTTACTGACACAATAAAGATCATTATCGGGTAGAGCAAGCCACAAATCCCAGGTGTTGATTCAGGTGTGAGAGAGATGGGGAAGGAGGTAGTTAGAAACTTCACCACAAGCTGCATTAAAGATAAACTTTAGTACTGGTAATGCGATTGCATTGTGAAAGAAAAGGTGTGAAAGGATCAGAAACAGTTGATCACGTAGCATGTAAGTATTGGTGTGCACTGCAAGGTTCTGGAGTCATCAAAATCATAATAAATTTGACCGAGTCTTGGTAAAGTAACAAACACTCACATAGAAAGCTATATATGGGACAACACACATGGTGTCGGGGATGGTACTAACTTGGTTTCCTTGTCTTTCTATGCTCATTACTCAGCCAGTATACATTTTCTTCCAAAATTGTTTGGCACATGTCATTTATTTGTAATCTTGAACATTCAGTGTAAGTTTCGTTTGATTCTGTGAGAATTTTTTTTTTTTTTTTAACCAGTACTGGAGTTTATCTTTAATGTTTGACGAAAGCTTTCTGTGCTGTACGGAAGTATAAGTCACAGACAGTATCACGTTATCATCACCTGGGCAATCTCTGCTGTATGTGGGACATCATAGAGGTAGACTCATAGAACTCAAATACGAAAGTCACATCAAGGTGGATCAGTCCATTACAGAGGTGAAGGTGAATCAATTTATATATTCAGGCCAAAGGTCGCAGGTCAGTTCACTGGAATGAAAGAACGAGATCAAATCAGAGGGTGTTTGTGTCGGTAAAAAAGGGTCATGGTTTGCAAGTACGGAGACATCTGATCTTTTTAGCAAACACTCCAAATAGCTAAGATCAAGACCATTGATATAAAGGTTGGAAGGAAAGAAATGTGTTTCCTCGATTTCAACTGCCATCCTACCACTGTACATGAACTTGAGGTCAATATAGTGTCAAACTAAACAAAAGGCTGTATCCTCCATTCTCCCATAACCCCTATTCTCCCATTCTCCCATCAACCGTGTCATGATTAGTTTATACCCGTAGTGAGAATATAGCAATCCATACATCTAGAGTTTTGGTGTTCTGTCACAGAAGAATGGAGGGAATCGCTCCTTTTGTCTTTATTCAATTCACAAATTCAGTTTAAAATTGGTTGTCCATGTATACACAAAAATAGAAATACTTATCTCTCTCCTTTCCTTTGTTCTTTCCATTATTTATCTCTCTCTCTCTCTTTCCCTTCCCGTCTGTCTCTCTCTATCTCCTTAGCGCTCTCTCTCTCACTTGCTATCCTGATCACATTTTGATAAATTCTTTACCAATCACATAATGAACTGAGAAAGACACACCTAGATAGGTACATTAAGATAGTTGGAGTTTTGACCAATAAATTCAATTGATCATGGTATCTCCACAGATGTCTTCTAGTATTCTCTCCCATATTCCCGCTCTCATTGTTTATACAACCAACATGAGATAAGCTTCCTAGCTAGCTACCATCTGCTTTGCCTTGTTTCCTAGCTCTAGCTCTAAGTTGAATGTATAGTAGAAGTAGTGTTCCCTTGTTTGATATCCAAGCCACAACTATGTACTACCCTAGAGGACATTCTATCATCAGCAAGGTCAATAACTTGACCCACCCCAGCAAGGCATCTTGGGATATCCAAACTCTGAACAGCTGTCTGGTAGTGACAACATTCATGGCATCCCTCTAATGTCCTCCGCTTCTTTTCATCAGAAATGTACATTCCTGGTTTAGCTTTACACACCAATGACACAGCCCAGGCTGTGAGGTTCTAGGCATGTGCTTTACAATCACTTTAAGTCTCTACCTGTGAATTATCACATAATCCAGATAATCTAAAAAAGCAAGTCATATTCTCCTCCCCCAAACAGCATAAGTTTTTACTGAAGTAATTGGTTTTCATTATGAATGTCAAACAGCTATCACACCTCAAGTAGTCCTGATTGAAGTACATGTAAAATATTATTGAATTTTGAATTGTATATACCTGATTTCCTGTCAAAATAACTGTTCTGTTGAATGAAAAATAAAACTGAAACTGAAACTGAAATGTAGCTTCAGCAGGAAATCAGAGCATTTTGTAATGCATGTGAATTAAAAGATCGGATTTAGGAAAATTAAACTAAATTATAATGATAAGGAGAGTTACAGCATGAAGAAAATAGGATTGAGGTGAAACGAAAAGAAAGGTTAGGAATTACCTTTCACACAATGCATGTATAACAACAAGTAGAAAATAATTGAAAACCTCCTCTTTTGGCATCTAAACATGCCCCCAAAATATTGATTATGAATTCTTGATTGAATCGGGCCAGGTATCGAGTTGAAAAGATTTTCCCTGATGTAATCTTGATTCCATCTTGCCTATTCCTTTATGTCAAGAGGCTGTGCACTGGGTAGTGGTGCTCAATATGTTTGGATTCCTTGAGGTAGCATGCAAGTTTTAGGAGGGAAGGAGGATCATGAAACTGCAAATATATCTGTAATATGCTTGAGCTTAAATGCAAATTCATTTTGACTGTTTCTCAATATGATCATGTGATACCATGTATAGCAATTCCTTCTTTTGATTAATCCATACATCATAGCAAAAAGCTTTAAGTGGGGATGTTTAATTTGACAAGTTTACAGATGTTTACATGCTTTTTCAGTATCAGTAATGTTATATTCTTCCAGGCAATGGTGTTTGTTTTTGTGTCGATTATGAGGTAAGAAGATCTTTGGCTGATCCCTTATCCCAAGGAGCACTCTCATGTTCTATCCGTACAATCTTCTATTTTAAAAAAATAGTGGGAAGAAGGTATTTTTAAAACTGATTCATGTTTTAAAAAATTTATTCCTCTGATTTAATTTTGTCAAATGATGTTATTTCTATTTTGTATTCTTTCAGCCGTGAACCCTCTACCTGAGTTTGAAGCCCAGTTGATTCCAGAAGGCGACACAAAGACCATAAACTGCTCCTATCCAGCAGGCGACGTGGGAGGCATTCCTACACCCTCTATACATTGGCTGAAACCTAGTTTACGTGAGGTACCTTTAGATGGGACTAAGACTAAGAGGGTTCGTGTGGAAGAGCAAAAGAATCTTCTCGTCTTTGATCCTATCAAGAAATCTGATGAAGGCAACTATACATGTGTGTCTAGTAACATGGCTGGTGAAACAACCCAGATACTCAAAGTAGTGGTTGCTAGTAAGTATACCAGTCTCTTGTAGAACAGATCTTATCTGAGATAATCTGGGCCTTCTGGCATAATCAGTCTTGGGCGTTGCATTTTTCTTTCAATCATCATAAATATCCTAGAAATGAACTGAAGTAGGGATCTTTGCAAAGCAGTGTATTAAATGTAGATTGAACATTGTGAGTCTTTAAAATGAGAGATCTCTCTCTGAACTTTTACTGTAATCCGAAATTTTGTATTTCCTGTTTGAATATCCTGGGTTTTTAGATTATTTATATTTATGATAGGGGATTTATTTAGATTTGTTCGTTTGTAAGATATGAGTTACCGTATGATGTTGTTTAGTTAAAAAGGTTAATTAAACAAATCTGATTTGTCGGAATTTAAACAGTAGCGACCTTGAAGCAAGGCACCATGTTCTTTAGGACTGATAGAAAAGAACTGGCGGAGAAGGGCGAACATGGAAAAGCTTCAGATGATCAGAGCCTCCCCTCCTCCGCGCCCATCCAATGTTTTCCTTGTGAAAACTACAATTGAGCATGTTGCTTGAAGATTGGCCTTTAGTAATGCCATCAACAGTTCAAATCTCTTTTATCGAGGTCCCAAGGAAAACGCCATCAAGTAATAGAAATAAAACAGAGCCAGAATTTCTTTTTCGTAAGCTCAGTAATAAACAAAAACCTGTATTTGTTATATTTTTCTCCAGCTGCACCCAAGATTACAACCAGACCTGTAGATGTTCACATCAGAGAGAGAGAAGAAGCAACACTACGATGCAATGCTACCGGTACTCCTACACCAACAATCAGCTGGACATTTGGCACCAGAGATATCACAAATGTAAGGAATCATGTACTTAGTAGGATTCATGTGCAGCGGTGAGAGTTCTAGCTTTATGGGGAGATGCGCATTAAGGATCGTACTTTCAATCATTCCAAAGTCACATTGCTATTTATGAACTTAAGGTTCTGTAAATCAAATAACAGGTATACAAGCTTAGCTAAATACAGTTGTAGAGTAATTTCCCACATTTTTCTTCAATTTCAATTCATTTCAGCATGTAAGCATGTTAGACAAATGGTATGAATGCATCCAATGATATATCAAACATTAATATTCAGGTAACTTAACATGAGGGTCAATCCATAGCATATGATATCAATGATGATGACACAGTCCAACATTATTTCATCTGTTATGGAGCCAGAAGGGCGTTACATCATTTCATTTTACGGAATTATAATGCCCTCCTGGTTTCAAAAAAGGAATTTACGAGCATGTTGCCTTTCATTAGATGAATTGTTTATGTTAACTGTTCTCGTATATCATGACATTTTTTTTTCTTACGATATACAGAAACAAGGTATAGAGGTGTCAGCTGATGGATCGCTGGTAATCAACAGTGCAATGACTCGACATAATGGTACCTATACATGTACAGCTAGAACCATAGCAGGCATCAAAACTGCATCGGCTAACATCTTTGTCAAAGGTAATGCACTATTCTTTCATCATCGAGGCCCTAGCTGTTTCATAAAACTAGTTATCAGTAATAACTGCAAAACATATGTAACTATTTTTTTTCTTAACAAGTCAAATGCACTGAAATCAGGACTGTATTTTAGTCATTTTTCTATTTAACTGTCTTTTTGTAAAACAAGTTCCAGGTCTACACATCTAGTTTGAGGCTGCAGTTTTTAGATCTCTTAGGTTCCAGTCTATGTTGTGTTGGAATAACTGACCCCCTCAAAAATTAAATTACAGATGCTATCTAGATGGTATAGTCAGGTTTATTTAGATTAAGTGCTTTTCTTTTTAAACTCTGTCATACATTTCAATAAGACATCTTATCAGAATAACTAATCTTATCAAGACTTATTTAGAATGGAGAGTTTTCTCTTTGTACCATTGTTTGTAAAACGACATCGTTTTTCTTTTTATCTTAAGTGTAATGGTACATTTAGGTTCTTGTCGTGGACATGTAGTTCACCCATTCACTACTTAGGTGGGGTGTACCATTTGATACAATCACCATCACATATTAAAAACAAGGAGATACTTTTTGCTTGGCCAGTATTCAACAGTTATATACTTACTTGGTATTGGTCGAGTGGGTAGGTCGCCGGACTGTTGATCACAAGGTCCGCAGTTCGAGTCCCGCCATGGCATTAATGTCCTTTGGCAATACATTGATCTACATTTGCCACACTCAACCCAGGTGATGTAAATGGGTACCTGGCAGGAATTAATTCCTTGAAATTAAAATACTGGAGCGCTGTAATGGCAGCTAGGCTAAAGCCGGGTAATAATAAATGCGCCTCAGAATAGAATTTTTAGATAGACTGCGCTATAGAAATGCCTATTATCATTATTATTATTATTATTAATTACTTATATTTCTGCTAATTAAATGACCCACATGTTATGATTGATGTTTGTACCTAACAGCTATCCTGAAGTTCAATCCACGTCCTATTGCTGTGACGTCTTTAGACCGTGGGGAGATGAATCGTCTAGTGTGCCACGCCACAGCCAGCATCCAACCATTCATTGCATGGCACAAGCAGGGTATAATAGGAACATGGCCAGATCATATCTCAGAACCTAACTCAGGAGTCCTGCAATTCAACCCTGCTGAAGCAAGCGATGCTGGAACGTACATCTGCATTGCATCCACGGGACTGGAGAGGATTAATACCACCGTCAGAATCGATGTAGTCGGTACGTAGAAACTTTATATTGTATTGACTAGTTAAGGAATGATTGATACTGCTGTCAATTTTCATAGTTTTGGTAGGTCTAAGCTTAGATTCATATTGCATCTACTGGTAAAGAGCTGGTGAGTCAAAGCTTTGATCTTCATATCAGAGATAGATCTTTGTATTTGTGTCAAATGACCTGCATGTATCAGAACTTAGCTTTTCATCTCGGACATATCAAACTCTAATGTATATGAACTGATTTGAATGTCAAAACAAATAAATGGAAAGTGATTGCAAAACTATTTCATGAGGTGAATAATGATTTTAGAAAGAAGCCATATGGTACTTGTAAGAGATAACTTGATAACATGATAAATGAGAAAACAAGAGAAGTTTCTGTAGTTTGAGGTCTGATTTAGCTGTAGCTCAATTTAAGTTAATACAATTGTTTGATTCTCTTTTATCTGCAGTGAAACCCAAGTTTGTGATCATACCCAACAACACCATAGGATTTGAGGGTTATTCTCTCAAGATTGACTGCACAGCGCACGGAGATCCAGTGCCAACGATCACATGGATTAGTAAACCAATCATGAATTACCCTGAGCATTTCACTCATCTACCCAATGGTACCCTCATCATCCAAGAGGTTCATGCTAATGATGCTGGCAGATATCAGTGCATCGCTGGCAGTGATGCAGGGCTTAATACCACAGAGATAACACTCACTGTGCAGAGTAAGTCTTATGTCACCTCGTGTCTTGTCAGTAGTAGTAGGGATGTAGGCCTGTTAACACAACACTAACTGGGTGTACTAGAATGGCAGATAACAGAGATGTGTGGAAAAATGTTGCAATCAACATTTGAGCTGGGAGAAGATACCAAGATAGAACTGAGCATAACCCCAAGGTGGTTAGGGCAAGATTGCATATATTCGTATTCATCATCAGTCATGATATATCTCCATGTAATAATTGGAAGGAAATTCGACTATTTTTAAAATTAAAGTAGGAATTTAGTATTGAGAATAAAATGTGTGAATGTGAAGAACACAGTGAATAAGAGAAGGAAATAATATTGATTTTTAAAGCTAGTTGTCATTAAACAGCCCCTTAATTTTGTTCATTTGAGTTGAGCATACAACAAAGAAATCTTGTCGGCCATCCATGAACTTCATAATCATGTCTTTTTATGATTGCAGAGGGTACTCCTCCTGACCAAGTGCCTGTACCAGCTCAGGTCATGACCCGAACCATCGCCATCGCTGTAGGGTGTGCCGCAGCCTACATCTTCCTGGTCGTAGGTCTCATGCTATGGTGCCGTCAGAGACGTCGACGATACAGACGCAAGATGAAGAACATGGAGAAGCCCAACGGAATGGTGGCAGGAGGAGCAAACAATCGGATGCTGAATGATTATCACGAGGGAGAGAATGGCAAGGTTGCTGACGGGGAGATAGCGTTGAATCCGACACCTAATAAGAACCACCAGAGAGGGAGCTATGACAAGCTGCAGTTCCCAAAACATGATATGCAGACCATCACTACTATTGGTAAATAGTCATCGCTAGTTTGAATTGAAATTGGTTTCTTGTGATTTTTTAAAATTGTATTTGATATCATGTTCATAAGTCCAGAATGCAGGGAAATAAACTTGTCAATGAGGTGAGATTTATGACTAATTGATGATTGTATATTCACCTTGGGTTTCTAAGAAAAAGCGAGTATGAATTTTGTAGAAAGGCATCCAGGATAGCTAGTCTTGGAGTCCCCCTCTCAGGGCTAGAGCATTGAACACAGTACAGTAGACAGTCTGATGCTAAGAAGAATTTTTAAGTGACAGTTTCTCTATTTGAAGTATGTCAATTTTTTTATTGGTGTAATGTTGTAATTAAAAATGTTGTTTTGGATGATAACATCATTCATTTGTATTGCTGGTCTATAGATACAGTTGTTGTATCATGAGAGCCGTGGATATGTGATGTAATCAAACTTTACCTCCTACTTTCAGGTCATGGAGCATATGGTGAGGTCACCCTATCGCGGGCAGCAGGCATTAAAGATGGTGAGGAGGCTACCACAGTGATGGTCAAAGCTCTGGAGACCAAAGAGGAGTCGTTACAGCTAGACTTCAGACGAGAGATCGAGATGTTAGGCAAGCTCAATCATGAGAACATCGTCAAGCTCCTGGGTGTGTGTAGGGATACTGAACCACAACTCATGATCACTGAGTATTTAGATTGGGTAAGTTGATTGTAGTAGCTAGACCGGAAACATGAGTAAGAATTGATTTGGATAATGATTTAAAATTTATTTTTATAGAATTTAAAAAAGTAACAAATTACATTTTTACATATTGAGCAAAAGCTTCATTGATAATACATGTTTAAGCACAGACAGTGGATTTAGTGCCTTATGTTGTTGTTTTTTGGGGTAAATTGATATCAGCGGGTAACTTCTCCGTGAGAGCATATATATATATATATATATGTATCATTGATCTAGAGTCCGATCTCCAAGTTTGTGATTGACGAGGGGTCACATAACAAATGTATGGTATGAACATTTCCAACACACTATCATCTATGAGAACAGCTGAGTAGAATTTTGAAAAACATAACTTCCCTGAAGCACGGCTAAATGCCTTTTTCAGGCAGCTCTGATATCACAAATAAATCGGGAGGGAAAGCCAATCCTTATATTGTATATACACGAAAGAAGAATTCTGTATTGGAGCGGATGAAATCACTTTGTATGTGTTGATTTAAATTAACTTGATGGTCATTTGCTTTGTTTGATGACAGGGTGATCTGAAGCAGTTCTTGCAGGCAACCCGTGGTGAGAACGGCACCAAGAACGTCCCACCTCCTCTCACCCTGAGTCAGAAGATAGACATAGTCAACCAAGTAGCTCTAGGCATGGAGACCTTGTCAGCTAATCGGTTCATCCACGGTGACCTGGCTGCTCGTAACTGTCTTCTATCACCTTCTATGGAGGTGAAGATCTGTACCATGTCTGTAAGTCAAGATCTCTACCGCCCAGAGTACCATGAGTATCACCAGAAGCTCATCCCGGTTCGCTGGATGCCGGCTGAAGCCATCTTTGAGGATGAGCTCTCAGCCAAGAGTGATGTTTGGGCTTACGGGATCTTTGTGTGGGAGGTATTCAGCCAGGGCACGTTGCCCTATACACAGCTAGATAATGATGCGGTGATGCGAGCCATGATAGATGGTGAGTTGATGCTGGAGACACCACCTGATACACCGGAGGAGATTGAGCTGATGATGCATCGATGCTGGGCTGATAGTCCTAAGGATCGTCATACCTTCTCTGAGATCACTCACCATCTTGGACGTATCTCAACTGACAGCCGTGTATAGGTACCTACCTACCTACCTGCAGTACGAGTCACAGTTATGCAATATCTCGGTGACGTCAAGGCTCTCTGAAGACAAGAAGAGCATTGGATCTGCATGCACATCTACTCCGACAGTTGGAGAAACTTGAGAATGTTCAATGTGCTGGCATCTCAACAGTCATGCAGAATGCAGATTAGGGCTTGGTAGTGAGAAACCAAGTCTGTAGACTTCTAAAAAGCTAATAACTTTCTTTGCTTGATAGAGCAAAAGAAGAAAAAAGTTTTGAGAGGACTGCAAACCAAATTATTGGACTAGAAATAATAATGTATGCAAAAATGTAAATGAATTGTCTATGTTTGCAATCCATCCTCCTTTACAAACATCGTATGATAATATGAGAAAATAAGGAATGATATGAAGATGAAAGTTTGTGATGTTTTAACTTGTATTTATTGTGTTAATGTATCGTAAAATTTGTCCAGTATTTTGTACCGAATTATGGAACTAAGAGCAACTCCAAGTTTTAATTATTATCCCTTTCAAATTTTAATGTAGACATAGAAATGGGACTTCTGTATTTAGATTTCATCTATATATGTCAAATGGGCAGCACTGTACATGTGAAACTTGAATGGATGGGCAATCCCCAAAGGGCAGAATAGATAAGTCTGGTTATAATGTGGTATAGCATATGTAGAATTGATAGAGATAATACTTACAACCTGATGTATACAAGAGCAATTAGTGTTATAGTCTCTATCTCTCTATCCAATAAATGTTTCATTCAAATGAGTAGGGTTTTTAGGGAGAGGGAATTACAAGACAATTTAATAGAAATGCTCAAAGTTTGATTCTGTGAATGGAAAATACTATATCATCATAAAGTCTCTTCTTATAAGTGTGTAAATTGCAATCTAGAGTAAAGAAGAAAACTTGATGACACAAAGTAGATCGAGTGATGCCTCATTTAGTATTCAGTATTAGATATACCTGTAGATGTGTGACTTTTAATGAATATGCAACAGCTCATTGCACTGCAGGAGCTAGGACAGGCTAAAAGATAGTCAAAGCACAAAATATGAAAGAATATCTGTAAATAGTTGCACCTGTTTGCCAGTAGTATAGACAAATTACCTTGTAGGAATATATGTATCTTTTTCATGATCTTGTTTCTTATGACATGTTTCATTGCACTCAAATTACTATTAATGGAAAAGAATTAAGTTGATATAAACAATTGATAGTCGATGCTTCCATGATGTTTTTCAGAGAGTTTTTTATCCACATATATAGATAAGTTCCTCCTGGGAAAAAATCTGATTGCATGTACATGATTTAAAGTGACATTGGAAATAAAATGTATTTTAGTCATTGTTGAGTTGGATCCAGATAGTTTGTAAGACAGAAATGTCAGTAATGTGAAAGGTTGTGAATCCTAATTAGAGTTTCATCTTATCATCTGTACTGTCTATTTCAAGTTAGCTTTCAGAATGTCCAACCAGACCAAATACACTTGGACCAGACTTGATTTAGTAGTTGTTATAGGAATATGAAAAATCACTCCCTGTCTGCATAATTTTTCTTCACATAAGAAATTAGTCATCGGTGTTTGATTAAACAAGTGAAATGTATCTCTAGTTATCCCCTCAGGCTCCTCAAGATAAAAATGAAGTAGTTGTACTCCTCTCGCTATGCTGCAATACATGGGCCAAATATGTTTACACCATAACAGTGTTTCTGTGGTGAAATGAGATAGGTGCTAATGGAACAAATTAAAAACCAAGATGTGGATTGTTTTATTCTTTGACGTATCTGTAATTGCCCATTGACTGTTATAATCTATCAGAACCAAATAATTATTTGAAATGTTCTCTTCTTCCTTCCATTCTTCTTGATAACAATTATGTAATTTTTTTTTTTAATCCATTACTATGCCTGTACTTATACTTCATGATTATTATTGCTATTTTCCCCACCTCTTTTCCAAGTGAAATAATTTCAATGTAAGATTTTTTATACCAAATGAAAGAAGCAGTACTTCAATTTTATCTTGATAAGTTCTTATAATCCCTTATCTTGTTAACTGTAGTACTATTAATGAAATTTGATTGAAATCCAGTACTTTGTGTTTATCTGATTTTAAATGGGTTTATCAAAATGTAACAATTTGGAATGAAGTAAAAAGTAATCTTCTCCCAAAACATTTCTCATATTTGTAACTTGAAACATATAAGTTGGAGAATGTATACTGGTTGAGTTATATTAATGTATAGTTGGCAATGCTGTAGAGGGACCAAACATGTTCAAAACATTCAGCAAACTTTAAGAAGCAGGAATATTAACCTCATAATGAGTGCTTTTGAGGACACAGTTTTTCATGAGTCATTGACATACAGTCATACACTAACAATAAAAAGAAAGCATGTAGCATCTGCTTTATCCTCAAACAAATATATTTTAAAAGCTTTCAAAAGGAATGGAAATAGATCTTGGATATGAAAGAAATAATAGTCCAAACAATTTTATAAAAAGTGTTTCTTCATTTTTATATGTTCAAGATTGTACACTGTTTGTTCAAGTCTTGCCACTCCATACTTTCAGTGAGTTTGGATTTTGATGCATTCAGATATGTAAGGAATTTAGATATTCTCAGATTATTAATAAGCTGTGGAATATAAAGTAAAATCAAAAACCCACCCGACTTAATTTGCAAAGCCTAATCATTCTTACTTTATCAACTCAACCTTGAAAGCAAATTTAATTGGCAAACTTTTGATTATGGATTGGAACTTTTAAAACAAATGTCAGTCAGTTTCTTTGTCATTTTTCTCATAAAAATGCAAATAGTTTCGATTCATACTGCTTTATAGTTATGTTATAAATTGTACTAATTGTTATTTGATGGATGACTTAATACCCTCTTAAATTTGAATGAGATAAGGATGATGATGTTGTCTTTCTATTAACTTTTTAATTTATTGTCTTTTATGATTAAGTAATGTGCATTTTAATGAGAGGATGCCTAGTTGGTGATATTAATCTTGTCACTCTCATGAATTTTATCATGCTTTCTTATCTTTGTAATAATGTATTCTTATTTATGCTTGCAAAGCCTAAACTGTATATATGTGTACATTTGTCTTTTATAAAGAGCACTTACTGTGTAATACATTGTTTCTTTTTGGACAGTCACCGTTAGCAAGGTATTCATGGCAAAATTGCAATCTGCACTTTTGAAATGAAGATAAATCTGTATGGTTCATTCAAATGTTTCTAAGAGAGTCTCCCATATTATGAATTCAGATTTTGTTTTTAAAGAATCATGTATTCAAATTGATTTGCATTGAACTCTCAAAACCCTGCTGAAATATATCATGAATTTTGATAATTTACCATCATTAGTACTTTAAAAAATGATGGTTTTATTTCCAGAGAAGTCACAAGACCATCCTCATTTTTCAACTGAAATCTGTAATTCAGCAGTTTTTGTATTAAAAAGGGCAATGCTTTTATAGTCAAGGTCACAAATTGATTCATACAAAATAATCATACTTGTATCAAAATAGATTTACATCTGTGTTGAATCCTTGTAATTAATTACTTTTATATGCTGGATTGGGCTACACTGGATTAAAACTGCATTTTTACCAGATATCGGAAAATGTTAAACAAAAGTAAGCATTATATCAATACAAAAAGCAAAACTTGAAGATAAAAAATACAATTTCTTGAGTGAAAGAGGATAGAATAAAGAACCAAAGACTATTTGTACTGATTTAGGGAAGTTACCACTGTATTTCATTTCTTTCCACATTTTCGTTCTATTTATTTGTAAAAGAAACAAGCTCACCGTTGTGGCAAGGTGAGATTCTTATGTACATGCTGTAGTTATACTTTGCTTTTTACTGTGTCAAGTCTGTGAAATTTTTGGAACAAAAGAAGAAAAAAATTGAAGGTATTCTTGTTTTCTTTGAAATTGGGTAGATATCGAGTACTAGTTGACATACTGTTTTGACTGATGATATACTTGCAAGATTATGTGCATGCAAAATTACTAGTAGACCTCTGTATCCCCATGTCAAAGTGGCCATGTTTTCATTTGTATAATGCATACAAACAAGAATAAAAAGTCAGTCAAGTTCTTAAGAAAATGAAGACTGCGCTTGTTTTTTGTTGTGGTATTACGTGTATTACAAGTAAAAGAGTTCCCTTTTTTTATAAACCTCGTCTGTTTCATATCTCTCCCCTTCAAATCCCCCCTCCCCCTCTCTTTCTCTCCCTCTCCCTCACCCCAAACTCTCATACTTTGCCAATAGAAAAATTACATGCTTTGGTGAATCGTCAATATTATTTAATGAACGTAATTTGATCATACAATACATTCATGAGTTGGGAGTCTGGGACTACTTAGATAACTTAAGATTCTTTCATTCTCTTGGCTTACTTAAAGATAAACTTGAGTTCTGCTAAAAAAAGAAAATTAATTCTCACAATATTCAAGATTACAAATAAATGTCATTTGCCAAACCATTTGTGTAGTACCATATACATATACATCTTTCTGTGTACAGTGCTTGTTACTTTACCAAGACTGGGCCAAATTTATTATGATTTTGATGACTCCAGAACCTTGCAGTACACACCAATACTTACATGCTACATGATCAACTTTTTCTGATCCATTCCAAATCTTTTCTTTCACAATGCAATCGCATTACCAGAACTCAACTTTATCTTTAATTAAAAAGAAAACTTGACAAAACAAAGTCTAAGAATTGTGTGTTTTCTATTTATATAAAAATTTAATCATTGAAAACCGTAAGTACAGAGAGTGAAACATGCATTTCTAAAATAGATTCAATCATAATGGAACAGATCAAACATGTGTAACTTGACAAACTGATGAATAATCTGCTCTCCTTGGCTTTGTAAGAAGGAATTTCCACAAATTTGCATGGCAACACTGCACTCACGACGACTTGGATTTCTCCTCTTCTTTCCATGATTAGAAATGTTGACCTTTTCACTGTTTTTGCTCATAAAACATGATCATAGAGTACTGTGATCTAGCAGGCTTTCCTTATATTCCATAAGAGTAACGTGCTGCTTGATAACTTATTATAAACACTCGCTTTGTGCACAAAATGAAAGCAAGCAGTACAACAAGAATCAACAGTTCTTCAGGAGAATATTAATGATGGAACATCCAGTTAATCCCCTGCTTCCTTGGTTTGCTATATCAGCGTCTTTCAACCGGGTTGCAGGGGCACCTTGGGGTATATATTTTATATATCTAGTACATTGACCACAAAATAATATTTTTAACATATTGAAGATAACATTTTGGGGTTCGTGGTTGGTTGAAAAACGCTGGGCCATAGAGTCTCTTTACTTCCATTGAGTTCATGTTCTCATTAAGGCACGAGTAACTTCACGTGTCTGTATTCTGGTTGCCCAGCATGTCAAGGTCCTGTTGAAATGTCTTACACTTGGATTTTAAGATATTGATAGCCTCCGAGACTAGGACTTCTGGACGAAGAGCTCCAGTCGACTCCACAGAGACTGAAAAATAACATTGGAAAGAACATGATTGAGAATGGTTGCCTCTTCTAACCAACCTTAAAAAACTGCTTCATTCAAATCAAGATTGCAAAGATGAACAACAAATACAAAATCTTTCTTACCCTATAAAAATATACATGTAAAACAAAATGAAAGGCCATGACACAATCTAAATACTAGAATACAGATGTGAGGGTACAAAAAGTAAGGTTGAACGGTTCAATTTTGCTACATCGTGGTAAGAGGACCTCAAGATGTTGACCACTTAAGGTACATATAACATAGAATTTATATCTTGAGGTATATGCATGAACTTGTAGGAGACATATTAGAATCACACATATGAAATGATAACAAAATTACACAAAAATTACATTTTATCAATACTTAAATAACCACTTCTTCATTTCTAACTTGTTCATATTTGATTTTTTTTTCTTTGACCCTTTTATGCAGAGCTGCCAACCGTGTGCGACCAAAAAAAGGAATCATGATGGCAAAAAAAAGGAATTTCAAGCATAAAAAAGGGATTCATGAAAACGAAACTTACAACCACGCGCGACACACTTCCAATGCAGAAATGTTCATTCATCATGCTGTTTTTTCCATACAAGCAGGTAATTTTTTTGGTGGTTATTTTGGTATTATCGGCATTTCATTTTTGTTGAGAATATTTTTCTCTTCAAGTATGTTTTAAAATTAGTTTTCTATTGAATTTGTGATCAAATCACCATTTTAGGGCAGTTGTTTGACGTGCGGTATGTAAAAAAATATATATATATATATATATACTTCTTTATAAAAAAAAATTTTTTTTAAATTTTTTAAAAAATTAAAAATTAAAAAAATTTAAAACCGTATTATATGAAGAAAAAACGTAATACCGTAATTGGGGGGAAAAAACGGAGTAATTCCGGCAAAAATGGAATGGTTGGCAGCTCTGTTTCATGGTATATGAAAACAAAATTGACAAATTTCCATATGACAAAATACAAATGTTCATGGGGTGAAATTGTGTCACATCATTGAGATAGACATGTCACATTGGATATCCACAGTGAATAGAATTCATTCTTTTCTCTAGCACTCTTCATACGACACAACAGACATAGACAAGACTGTGTGGGGTTTTCATAGAATGCACTTTAAATAAATGAGAAATGGGTACATCTCTTCTTCTTTACCCTTTATTATCATAATACATTACTCTGCTCCTAATATCATTATTTGTTTACCTTAGTAGTAATAGCTGTCTACAAATGTTGATCTCTAATTTTACTGTTTGATCTTATTAGAGGATTTTTCCTGAGCCAAAAGCTAAGGGGTATGAAATTCATGGGATACTTACAGATAAAATGATCTCGTATTCTGTTCAACTTCACACAATCTTTGAGGTCCTAAATTCAGGGGATAAAATACAAAGCATTGATGACAAAAAATGAAAAAGTAAGAATAATTTTCTTAAACAATGAAAAGCTTGAAAGTTTAAATATGCATGTTCAAACTCTTAAAACATTTTTAACATGATTTCTGAATGTCATGCAGTAAATGTTCAGACAAAATAACACATTTAATAAAGTTAAGAGTGAAACTCCTCAAGCTTTTTAACCAATACATGATTTTAGGATAACTAAAATATATGAATTTGAGAAGAGGGAGGGGGGTTACAGCTAGTCATGTCTGCAAAAGAGAACAAGTGGGCCATAAACATGAAACACAAAAACTTAAGACAAGAAAAGGTTCAATCAAATCTGCAACAAAGGAACAATATTCAGATATCACACATCAGTAATGAAGTATATTTTGCAAAATTTGCAATGTTCATGGGGTGAAATTGTGCCACATCATTTAGATAAACATGTCACATTGGATATCCACAGTGAATGGAATTCATTCTTTTCTCTAGCATTCATCATACGACACAGCAGACATAAGAAAGACTGTGTGGGGTTTTCATAGAATGCACTTAATGCTGGGCTTCGTAACTATTTGCTTTGTTATCTCACACTACCCTTCCTAAATGGCAATATTCTGTTTTCTATTTCAAAAATGAACTCCAGTTACTAACTTGAAATTTCTTCTTCTGAAAAGTTTATTCATCATCATTATACAGAGACAACTGTTTATATTAGGAAATGTGCTAATCACAGGCATTATCAATATGACAAATTCTAACCTATAACCTCTTATTGGATGACTTGCTCTTCTCACAGTGACATTTTCACCATCAAGAGTGATGAGGGTGATGTCAAACATATAGGAATCATTGTCAACATGGGTTAGTTCTGTGGTAAATCACTCACTGAAAGGGTATACACTTTGATGTACGTGAGGGAAGACTATACTTACATCATGCGAGAAGACTTCTCTGCCGCATGTATCTCTCCTAGGACAAGCTACCACCGCTACGGGTACACCTGGTATGAAGACAGAATAACAAACTTAATGTATTACCCTTTAATTGGGAATTTGTTAAATAATTTTTGCACTCATGGAATTTCTTGCTTAAAATCAACCTCAAATACTATTTAACATAACACTATGAGCTGCAGTGTAATTTTTGCCCATGGCTTTCAAAGCTTCAATTACTTTTGCATTTACATTCAATTTTGTAGTTCATAAAAAAACATTGAATTTTAAAGAGAAGGTTGAGTTCTGGGAAGAGGTGAAAAATAATTTGTGAGCATTACTCATTCTTATTATGCAAGTGTGGAAGAACATCAGTTAAGACATGTTCCCTGAAAAGCATGGCTCTTCAATTGCCTTCATATTCTAAATACCGTATTTTCCGGCGTAAAGGCCGCAGTATTTTCGGGTGAGAAAAAATCAAAAAGTCGGGGTGCGGTGTATACGCAACAACAACAAAATTCAGCGGTCAAAACATCACATCCATTTGCACGTATGGGACTATAGGAACGGTAGCATGACTAGACAACGGTACAGGACAATTCTAGAATAACTCCACACAACTTACCGACAAGTTTATGTTGCATAGTTGACATGAAGACGAAAAAACTTATTTTTCTAATAAAATCTGCCGATAGATCTAGATCTAAGTCCATACCATTGCATCGCCAAAAAGTAAACAAAGGGACAGGCCGTTACTTACGGAGCTAGCTGCCGCGCAACGCAACTGCGCAGGTCGAAAAATGCTATTTCGGATTACACCGCACATCGAGGAAGGGGTATTGTAGGATACCAAATCTGCGTACAATACAGTACTAGCTTAAAAGTCGATGATGATCTGCTAAATTATGATCATTTTTGAGGTTAACTTCTTGTTGATTTATAAGAATATCGATGAATTTGGTATAGTTTGTAAAAAAAAAAAGAGTGTTCTACAAGAAAATTACGATCATTTTGTTTGGTCCATTTTTTTTTCTCTTTTTTTTTTTTTTTTTTTTTTTTGTTGTAGTTTTTTTTTTCCTCTACGAAATGTCAAAGTTGGGGGTGCGGCCTATACGGCGGTGCGGCCTTTACGCCGGCAAATACGGTATGCATGTAACATCGTAAAAATCGGGGGGCCGGCTTTTTACGCCACGTGTTCGTGTAGTCCCATATACATCTTTCTGTGCAAGTGTTTGTAAATTTACCAAGACTTGGCCAAATTTCATATCATTTTGATGATTCCAGAACCTTGCAATACACACAAATTCTTATATGCTCGATGATCAACCTTTTCTGGTCAGTTCCACACCGTTTCTTTTACAATGCAATCGCATGACCAGAACTCAACTTCATCTTTAAACATAGTTTTCATTTACAATATCAATAATTAAAATGTGCAGTAGCATTTCTTCATCTCTTCATAGAATCAACATCTAACATACAAAGTACATCAGCATTAGAAAGTAAAATATATCAGCATCACTGACGTCATTACTGTTTAAATCATCTTACTTATTTTCTTACCATTTCTTTTTTCAACATCAATCACTCCAGAAGAAAAACACTGTTGAAGTTTCTTAGCTCTTTCTCCTGTGATATCCTCATTCAAAATGATCTCTGGCATAAGACGGTATGAGGCAGTAGCTATAACGACAGGTGCAAGGGAAGAACAATGGGGTTAGCTCCTGTTTAAGGTGTAATTTTTAAATACTCCTATGCATGATTTTTTTTTTGGGGGGGGGAAGTGTTTCTGAAGGTCAGAGCAACAAATTATAATAACTTCTTTTCTTTTCAAATCAATTAATAAACAAATGATTATAAATTATCCTTGCATCTGTGAATCAGGAGATATGAAATTATTTTACGCACAGCCTTTCCTTTCATTGTAGGTCTACACATGAAATTTATTTGAGGAAAAAAATAATTACACACAAGAATAAAATACAGGGTTACAGGGGTGCACTCTATGTTGATAAAGTAGATTTTGTAAAATTTCATGCTCCAAAGACAATCGCTCTGGAGTCAAATTCCTACACCAAAATCCTAACGCCTAACTGAACTTTGTAGTTTCATGAAATAAAGCCTGGAGTAAATGTTGTAGAGAAATTATCGGTCAACTGTCTAGCATACTCAGAGTATCAGTTACAAAACTGGTAATAATTGTAATATCAGTCATCCACAAAATTCTAATATCATTTTTCCACAAAAAATGAGTGATATGATCTGCAATAAATGGTCTTTATTCTAAAGGAGTAAACAAGTTGAGTTGAGAGCTTACCAACTGGAGAGAACTTGGCATGGTCTTTACCAATGCCTTTCACACAATGCATCTTAAGGTCAATCTCCTGGCCCGGTCTTAGCTTGGCTATCAGGATGTCCTTGTTGACAGGTGCAAAAGCTTTAGGTCCATACTGAAAAAAGAAGAACAAAGAAGGATATCAAAGTATATATTTGAACTGCTAAAATCATTGTTTTTTTCTCAATTTAAAAATCATCCCTAAGAGAAACTAACCCCACTTTATGATCATAGAACAAGTTTAATTTCCTTTCAACATGTCTTTGTGCTTTTATCCTAAGGTCTAATTCTATAAGCAATAAGTCCATTAACTTTCAAATATCTTTTAAAAGATGACTTGTGAATGGATAGAATTTTTAGAAGCTGGATAGCCCTTTAACCAATGTCCCATTTATTGGCGTACTAAAATGAAAGACTAGCAACAAACATGTACACACCATGATAGTCAGATATCATTAAACAAAATTGTGTGTATTCTTATTTAAATGAAACTGGCAGTGTTCATGGGGTGAAATTGTGTCACATCATTGAGATAGACATGTCACATTGGATATCCACAGTGAATGGAATGCATTCTTTTCTCTAGCATTCATCATACGACACAACAGACATAAGAAAGACTGTGTGGGGTTTTCATAGAATGCAACAACAACAAAAAATTAATTAATTAGGTTCACATTGGTCTGAGTTTAACAAGGAATACATGAAATCAAAGCTTACCGTCTCCTCTTGGTTTTCTAAAGGAATCCACTTGAAATGTTCAGTTGTTACTGTAAAACACACAAAAAAAGTTTTAAAGATTTAACTACTATCACTAAAACTGTCGTTTATGTATTAACTGTTTTCTTGATTTTGTCTTTGCCAAATAAATAATATTAATTTCATCAGGATGATGCCTCATGCTGTCTACAATGCCGCAATTAAATTGAAATCATTAAAGGAACAATATTCAGATATCGCACATCAGTAATGAAGTATATTTTGCAAAATGTGCAATGTTCATGGGGTAAAATTGTGTCACATCATTTAGATAAACATGTCACATTGGATATCCACAGTGAATGGAATTCATTCTTTTCTCTAGCATTCATCATACGACACAACAGACATAAGAAATACTGTGTGGGGTTTTCAAAGAATGCACTTAAAGAGAAGGTTAAGTTCTGGGAAGAGGTGAAAAATAATTTGTGAGCGTTATCATTGTATTATGCAAGTGTGGAAGAACATCAGATAAACTAGATGGAATTCGACTGCGCGCAGTCGAAAATGATGCCTCCGTCATAGAGCAATTTTACAAACCAAAACAGAAGAAATTTTTCGGATTCAAGTTCAATTGTAATCCATTGACAGGTTCTCAGAATATCGTGATTACAAGCAATTTCTCATATACATATATATGACCCTTTGATCTTTGACCTCATGACCCTAAAATCTACTCAGTTCATTGGCTCTGCAAGATGTCCTGAGTGAAATAGTAATCCATCTGTCAGTTCTAATGAGAATGCGTTCACAAGCTATTTTTGCATACATAATGAGCCCATGATCTTTGACCTTTGACCTTATGAACCAAGAATCTACTCAGTTCATTGGCTCTGCAAGTAACATACATGACCTAATTTTGGCAGGAATCCATCAATCGGTTCTTCAGATAACGCGATCACAAGCTGTTATTGCATACATAATGTGTGCTGTGGCCTTTGACCTTTGACCTCATGACCACTAAATCTAATCAGTTCATCGGCTCTGCAAGATACATACATGACCTAAGTTTGGCAGCAATCCATCAATCGGTTCTTGAGATAACGCGATCACAAGCTGTTTATGCATACATAATGAGCCCTGTGACCTTTGACCTTTAACCTCATGACCCCAAAATCTAATCAGTTCATTGGCTCTGCAAGATACATACATGACCAAAGTTTGGCAGGAATCCATCAATCGGTTCTTCAGATAACGCGATCACAAGCTGTTATTGCATACATAATGTGTGCTGTGGCCTTTGACCTTTGACCTCATGACCACTAAATCTAATCAGTTCATCGGCTCTGCAAGTAACATACATGACCTAAGTTTGGCAGCAATCCATCAATCGGTTCTTGAGATAACGCGATCACAAGCTGTTTATGCATACATAATGAGCCCTGTGACCTTTGACCTTTAACCTCATGACCCTAAAATCTAATCAGTTCATTGGCTCTGCAAGATACATACATGACCAAAGTTTGGCAGGAATCCATCAATCGGTTCTTCAGATAACGCGATCACGAGCTGTTTTTGCATACCTAATGAGCCCTGTGACCTTTGACCTTTGACCTCGTGACCCCAAAATCTAATCAGTTCATCGGCTCTGCAAGATACATACATGACCAAAGCTTGGCAGGAATCCATCGATCGGTTCTTCAGATAACGCGATCACAAGAACGGGACGTACGTACGTACAGACGTACCTACAGACGTACGTACGTGGACGGACAACCCGAAAACATAATGCCTCCGGCTACTTCGTAACAGAGGCATAAAAATGTTCCCTGAAAAGCATGGCTCTTCAAATGTCTCCAAATATTCTTAATATGGCATGTAACATCATAAAAATTGGGACAGATTTTTATGCCACACGTTCATGTAGTCCCATATACATCTTTCTGTGTACAGTGCTTGTAACTTTACCAAGACTGGGCCAAAATCTTTATCATTTTGATGATTCAAGAACCTTGCAGTACACACCAATACTTATAGGCTAGATGATCAACCTTTTCTGAATAATTCGTTTCTTTCCCAATGCGATCACATGACCAGAACTCAACTTTATCTTTAATAGCGACAGTCACTCTGAATGTAATTCAGCTCCCTATTCTTAATAATTGGTGAAAGCCAACTACAGTCATACCAGTCAATTAATGCCACCTGAGAAAAACAGGAAAACTGGCCACTGTAGACAGGCGGTCTTTCTATACAGGTTCTATAACACTCTTCTTCGAGGGAGAAAATAAAGGTGACCACTTTAGACAAGTGGCCTTTGTAGAGAGGTGGCCACTATTAAACACAGGTTTGACCGTATCACCCCAATATTTCCAAATCGATACAATATCATATAACATGAAAGCTTGGCATCTAGGTATACAATATCATCATTCGCAGATTGTTGTCATCATCAAGATTGTCAATCAATATTGTTATCAACATCCTTATTACTGTAAATCTGCACAATAAATCTGATCCTAATCCTGATCTGAGGATGAGATTAGCTCACCTTTGGCATTCTTATAGAGTTCATCAGGGTCGGTGGCATCTTTAGAAGCATTTGGGTTCTTGGTACATTTCACTTTCAGTTGGAATTCAATCGTGTCTTCTCCAGTTCCCGTTTCATCACCTGTATTGACTAAAAAGAATATTCCATATGCAGTATTAGGACCACCCTGATTGACAGAGGTAAGTCAAATTTGGGCTAGCAGAACATTGGTTAGTACCCTGGTCCCAACTATCAGATTTTTCAAAACCTTTGAACCAGTGTAAAATTACTTCTTCATAGATGCTCTATTTGGACTACCTGTAGTAAAGTGTGAATGTGTATCCACTAAATTGTATTTATATGGAATCAAAACACCTTCAAAAATCTTGAGTACTTTGACCTGTAATAACAAAATATGTTTGAATTCCTTTTTTTTTAAGTGTGAGCATGTTAACAAGTTGTGACTAGTTTTCTTTGTTTAAAACTTTAAATCAATGCACTTTTAAGTTTACGCTGCATCTGGCAATAAACTTACCTTCCTCTCTGTACTCAAAGATTCTCGGATCAGCTTTGATAGGAATAAGTCCTAATCTGTGAGCTAGAATTTCATCTTGTATGATGGATGTATTATTAAAGATGGAGACCTTCTCAATTGCCATTGTTGGTACCTAAAATAAAGACAATATGAACATTTGGGGTAGTAAAGTTAAAACTGTTACAGAGATGTGAATGACATAAAATTCCCTCATAGAGAGGTTTTGATGTTTAAGTTAGTAAGCACTTCTTTTTCTCACTGGAAAGTGATCATTTGTGGAGACAAATCAAATATATATATATATATATATATATATATATATATATATATATAATATTTTGAGCACTCAAGATCGATGCAGACTACATTATACATTACAGTACACAATCATCATTTATATTATTTCTTTCTTTATTTTTCTTACTTTTTATCTAATCCTTTCCTTGTTCTTTTCTTTACTTTTTTTTCTTCTTCATATATTGTATTCATAAATCACTTCAAGTTACATCTTTCTTTCTGGAATATATCATTCCAAAGCAATCTTATCTATCATAATTAAGTGATCAAAGTATCAAATTACAATTAATAAGGTGATTTGTCATACCTCTGCAAGCAAAATCCTCCTGAATGCATTAGCTACTGCTGGATCCACTCCTACCATGTCAAATTCAAGCTCCGAATGAGTCAGACTAATCACATCGATTCGAAAGTTCTGCAAGCGAATAAAAATATCAAAAACAAATACAAATTACCAGTTTAATATGAAAGCAAGTGCTATATAATGGACATACTGGCTGGGTCATCGCACAACAGAGAGGGAGGGAGAGAAACTATTATTAGATTTAAGTTTTTTTCCTTCTCACTAGGTACTTCTCACTGTTACCCCAAGTTAGTCAGAAATGTAATTGATTTCAGGCACTGTCAGTGTAGTATATCCTGCTAAAGAAGTAAAATCATGTTGCATTTTGATATTGAAATTAATAGTCAAACCTGTTGTAGTGAGAAGCGACCACGTGTCTAGAAAGACCACAATTTGTTTGTTTCCCTTGAACTGTGTTTCAGATTAGAATGTGCATCATACAAACTTGCACAGACCACTTTTGCTGTCTCCCTCTAGTGGTCTTTATACAGGTTTCACTATATTAATCCTAAAGTAGAGCAAGATCATTAATATTCATTCATAACAATGTGCCATTAAAGTGTGCATCTCCTTGGTTTAAGTTAGATCAAACTTACCTTAGTAAATTTGTCCATGCTCCAAGAATCATCACTTCCAACATAGTTTCCAGGAAAACTTGAACTGTGAACCTTTGTTTGAGAAATAAGAAACAAATGTAGAGGTGGTATGAATTTGTGGTACAGTGAACACCGCCTTAAACTGGTACTTGTGGACTACGTAGAAGTGGCGGTACCTGTTATCATTTGGACTGTTACCCACTCCATCCGTCTGAATAGATCGTCGAACGATGTGGCACTTGATGATGGAGAGGAGTGTCTTCTCCGTCCTGTCATCGACCGGATACAGGACGAGCTTGTTCATAGCCCGTTCCACAAGCCTGACGATCCACACTTTCACATCCTTCAACCCGTCCCCACAATGGTATTGCAGCGTCGCCCAAAGAGGGAGGGACTCGTCTACCTCGACTTCCCCTTTAAGTTGGACTGGGTTTTCTACGTTGTATTAGGTGTCGACGAACTTCTTGAAGAGATCGCAAGTGTAATTTACCCAATCTACAGATGTCTTCTTGTAGTCTATTCCTGCCTGGATGAAGCAAACTGCCCAGGAGAAAGTCCATACAAATTTTGAGGTCTTGTTGTACAACTAAGTGGCTGCGATCAAAGTAGGACTAGGAGTAGGAGTATCACGTGATGCTATACTCCTTCTCATGGTGCTCCTTCCGACGACATCGTCATGATGCTTCTTCTTCCTCGATGTCCTGATGTCCACTAATTACACTCCGTCCCTCACTCTTCGCAGATCATCATAGCTGCAAGAAGCCGTTGATCTTCAATCCATTCGAGGATGAACTACGGATCCGACAGGGAGAGGAAGTAAATTGGAGTGGAAGTCAATTCTTCCAACCAATTTTGAATTTTCCCCAACCGTTTTTCTGTGAAAATAAGAGTTTTTAAAGCCCCACTGCACTGCATACAAAGTTACTGTTAATATATTATAGTTACTGCGCCCTCTATATAAATAGCAAACCATGCCTAAGCAGTGACCGTTGGCAAGAAACAAGGCGTTGGTCTTCTCTTTCATCATCCATCGATTCCATGGACCTGTTTTGGGGTTCTCTTTTTCTTAGTTTTTTATCTTACATTATTAATTGAGGGCTTAGATCTAGATCTAGATCTAGACCTAGGTCTAGATCTAACTGTTAGACCTCTAGATCTAACTGTTAGACCTCTAGATCTAACTGTTAGACCTATTTGATGAGATAACCGGCGTTATAAAATGGCTCTAGTATTTTAAGCATCGTGATTGGTCAATACGCGTCACATGACATTGAAAAAATTTTGATGCAAGCACGATTTTGCAGAAATGAGTGCAGAAAAAGCGCAGTAAAAAGTTATATTGCACGGTGCGTACGCGTGACCATGGAGATCCAGTGCGCGCGCGTACGTGTAGTACGCGCTCCCTCGAGTTGCATTGCAATTATTGTAGGCTACGCGTAGCTAATATTGTAGCTCCAGCGTACGCGTACTTAACTATGCGCGCTAAAGCGGGAGATTTGAAAACAAATTTTCCATAAATTTGAAAGCGTACGTACCCTTGTTTGTTGTAGGCCTAGCTGAAATCGCGAAAATGGCGACTACCGCCGGTAATAAGTCGTTTCATGTCCCCACGGACGAAGAACTCGCTGACCTGGTGGGCCAGATGGATAGTGGCAACACAAAGAAGAGTTTGAAATTCGCTAGAGACAAATTACTAGGATTTGCAGCCTATTCGAACACGAATTTAGAGACCGGACTGGACGTTCCGTCTGATCTTGATTCCTTTCTGACCAAGTTTTACGCCGGGGTTCGAAAAGAGGATGGGACAAGTTACAAAAAAAGAACTATGCAGGCTCTTAGATACGGAGTTCAACGACATTATATGGACGAATCCGACTGGGATATTACAGACAAAGTGAAATTTCCTCAATCAAATCGCATGTTTAAGGCCGTAATGGTGAGTTTGAAGAAGCAAGGAAAAGGTTTCGTCGAGCATAAACCCGTGATCACCTCAACGGACATGCAAACAATGCAGAACTCTGAGGAACTTGACATGACAACACCGAAAGGGTTGCAAAATAAGGTTTTCGTCGATATCATGACTTTTTTTTGTAACCGTGGTAGGGAGAACATTCGTGAGATGAAGCCAGGTGATTTCACGATTGAGACAGACGTCGACAGTGGCCTTTCTTACATGAAGAAGAAAGACTGTCTCACCAAGAACAACAGAGAAGGGCAGGATGAAGTGTCAAACAGTGGCCGGATGTATGAGATTCCGAATAGTAATTCATGTCCCTTGAGAGCATTCCAGACTTACGTCAGTAGACTGAACGCAAAGTGCATCTGGCTCTGGCAAAGGCCCAAACAAGCAGCTCCTAAGGATGGATCTTGTTGGTACTGCGATAGCCCACTTGGAGTAAACACCATCGGAAACAAGCTCAAGTCAATATCTCGTAATGCTGGGTGTAGCCAAGTTTACACAAACCATTCCCTGCGTGCGACTACAATCAATACTCTCGACACTGCTGGTGTCCAAGGTAGGGACATTATGTCCATAAGTGGACACAAGAGTGAGACCAGTCTCCGCCATTATAGCAGGACAAGCGACAGTAGAAAGAGACAGATGAGCGGCATGCTTGCAAATCATCTGTACTCTGTCTCTGGACCTGAGGCTGAGTCTAACACTTCTTCTTCTTCATCTTCTTCTACTGCCTATGCTACTTCTTCAACTTCTATTGCTCCTTCAGCTTCTTCTACTACTACCAGTACTAGTATCATCAGTTCTTCATTCAGCTCTAGCCAAGAAACCGTGGCATACGGCGGCGATAACTCTAGGCCTACATCTGTCGAATTCAGTTCTTCCCAATCCCAGATTCAGCAGCATAGCATCCAGAAGGTGTTCCATTTCCACGGATGTAATGTGAATATTTATAATAACTGATTGTCTAACTCCACTGTACATATTCTATCTGTGATCTACGTTCAAACTGTAAATGCGTTGTTTTGCCTGTTTTGACTTTTGGCCTGTTTTGACTTTTGGATTTTATAATGATCGCAGCCAGGAATTTCAGGGCATGCCAATTTCAGCTGTTTCACTGTCTGATTCAACAAGTTCTAACTTTAGACTATGGATTTTATTACTCAAGGCAAGTGGAAATCCCGTGAACGTTTTGGTAAGTAGATCTTTAGTATACTGTATAGCAAGCCTGCAAGGTCTTAGAATCTAACTCTTAATCTTATCTTATTTGTGTCGAGCCTATTTTATAAAACAAATAACGCACTTGACCCTGTTGTGCAAAACGTAAATGCAGTAAATGCTCGGTTTCTTCAGATGGTTCGCACTGTCAACTCGCCGCAAGCGGCTCGTTGCACAGAGCGGCACCAATCTAAAGAAACCTCGCGCGTACTGCATTCACCGCTATTGCACTCTGGGCCGTGCGTTATTTGTATACTAGTGTAGTTCCGTATCCATTTTTTTAGCAGTTTCATATCCATTCTTAGCAAAGGAATTTTAGCCCAATTTTTTACTAATTTTAATCATAATCATATATTGCATTTTCCACCTGAATTTGGATCACATCCGACATCGGGAAGCCTCCGTTTAGGGCTTCGATGTCGGCGTCGTCGATCAGTACCGTCTCCGCGCTATAGCTTTGCAACTCAAACTGAAGCTATCAGTCTAAAATTATGCAAGCTTCTCGTATAGTTTATGGTATCGTGCATGTGCATAATACCATAAAGCATACGCAATGTTTGCATAATTTTAGACTGATAGCTTCAGTTTGAGGTGCAGAGCTATAGCGCGAAGACGGTACTGAGCGACGACTTCGACATCGAAGCCCTAAACGGAGGCTTTCCGATGTCGGATGTGATCCAAATTCAGGTGGAAAATGCAATATATGATCATGATTAAAATTAGTAAAAAATTGGGCTAAAATTCCTTTGCTAAGAATCAATATTAAACTGGTAAAAAAAATGGTAAAAAAAATGGATACGGTACTAAAGTTAGGGCCTAGGCCTACACTAGCGCCAGATAACCACCTGTCTAAATTCTAAATCCCTTAGACAATGCAATCATTCATTATTTCAACGTACACATTAACTGAGTCTAAGTCTGATTTATACTTTAAGTCTATAGTCTACCATAATTCAATATCTCATAAATTCATATCCTTACATTGTCAACTCCATGTTCAAGCAGTCGCACACGTGTTTTCATATCTTCAACATGCGCCATGGCTCCTCCGCAGATTTAACTGGCCACTGTATGTACCCGGTAGGCATTAGCACTGCACTTGCACTGTATATGTACTGCACGACACTCCGCCACATGCATACATGATAACTACTAGCTGAACATCCTCGAGGCTGTGCCGCAGCGTCTGCAATGCGCTAACTAGGCCAGTAGCGGCCATCGAAAGGTAGCGGGCCCGTTATGGCTGCACTCTTACATAGTACAGTGCAAATTGAGGGCGAATGCGCGAAAACTAGTGCATATCGATCGCACTTTAAGTTAATTGGAAGAGTCCATTTTATCATAGAGGTTAATCAGCTCCCATCTCAATATGATGCGGTTTTTAGAACATCTATCTGAAAAATAATCACAAAAGAAAACATATGAATCATTACAATTTATATTTAAAAGTCTCCATATGGGTATTGTATTGATATTATGCGTACCATAAAGGATCTATACTGATTTATACTTAGTAGTATTTATTTTGACCCCCAGCTGAATAATTGTATGTTGCTCATTCATTTCCGGACTAAATTTCGAAGACGCCCTCTGATCGACAGTGCTAAACAAAAATGGTAATTGTCGTCTTTTGTGATGATAAGTCGTATTGAAAACATATTTTTTTAAATTTGATATGATACTATTTTGTGATCCGATGTATTTGTACATTCAATATTAATTCAAAGATAAAATAATCGTAGATTCTATTTTCATATTTAGTAAGTGGTCCCATACGTTTATTATTGTGCTGTCATACAGGTACACTCGGGTTCACTTGAATATTTTCATCCAGACAGAAAAATCCGTCTGCTTGGAGTTGGAGGAGTTTTTGAACATATTCTATCTTTTGGGAGTTTTGATGTTCTCCTCCATGACACACAGAACCTTCTCGATGTCACTGCCGCCGTGGTACCCTCTGTTTGCCTTCACTAGACCTCTAGTCTATTTATTACAACGACAAAACATTTTTTTCCCCTTCATTTTACAAAAAAATGACAAGGTAGTTCTATACAAAAGATTCTGTAGAGAAGAGAAAGAGAAGAAATGAGTCCCATAATCTTGGACATGTAAATGTATGGACAGAGAGTTGCGGGATGTTGAATGTACTGACTGTATAATGTATCGTATCAAAATAAAAATTGAGAATGAGAAGAACTTTATGCCTACTTCCAAGGTATGAGAAATGATCCTGATGAAATGAAGCAATTTATGTGGACAACCTTTTTTTAACTTTCATGTTTGTTTGTTTTAATTCTTGTAATCTTTCTAAATCTAAGATCTATTTAAAACTAAAGTCTTAATCATGCATCGCACTGCAATTCTTATCTGAATTTGATGTACTGCGCAATCCTGTCAATCGAGAGAGGGCCACAGTGCTAAAAGTATTCTAGGACATGTTTGGATTTGAAAAGTGTCAGGGGAAAAAGCAAACTGGTTTTGTACCTCAAGACAATGCCGCAAAAATATCACACATACCACACAAAATAAACATCTCAAACTCTATTTACTCTTCAATAAAGGTTTTAACTTGCGTGAAGTTGATGACTTTCATGATTTGAATATTTTCTGACGAAAGAAAGGCAATATTATATACATTTTAAACGATCTTTACTCTAATGTTTTAGCACTACTGCAAGTGCTCAATGGTGCCTACTGCCTAATATTCACCATGACCACCAAAGTTGCAGGAAATATTATTTATCTGCTGTTTCAGTGTAACTTTTTTTTAAATTCTGTGATCATTTGTGTTCTAACACGACTGAAAATCACTTGTATTGTTTGTTACTATTGTCATCTAATACATTCCTTTTTTGTATTTCCTATTTCAGATTCGATTTATCTTAATTCAGAATCGTGCTGGCAAGACTAGGCTTGCTAAGTGGTACATGGCATTTGATGATGAAGAGAAACAGAAGTTGATTGAAGAAGTACATGCTTTGGTTACAGTTCGAGATGCTAAACACACAAACTTTGTAGAAGTGAGTCAAATTCTGGTTATACATGTACCTTAATATTTTATAGTAACTTACATAGATCCTGAGGAAACTATCAATTCTACTGTGAATTTGTGAAAGGGTAGTAAGAAATACATTAATGTGGACATAGACATCTTTAGTCACATGCATTACTCAGAGATGTTTAGTACATTCATAAAATGGATATTAGCACTGTAATTATTTACTGTGGTAATTTAATTTTTCTAATACCAATATATTTATCTTAATTTGAGCATTCATTAAGAAATGTATATAGAGATGTAAGTGATAATATAATTGTACTAACGCTTTACCAGGGCGTAACTATCACTATGTTTTTATTTAAAATGAAATTGTGTTTTAATCTAAAATGTATGTGTAGGTGGGTTTTTTGCCCCATGAAGAGTATCATACTTTTCTTTGATAAAAAAAGTATAATCTGCATGTTGCAGTAGTATACCGGTATGTGAACAGTCAGATATATACATTGGCAATGCTATTTTCAGGTCATTGCACAGTCTTGAGTGCATAACATGTTGGTAACTACACTACCATTAATAATGGCATAGCAGACAACTTTTAGTTAGATATTTCAGTGAATATAAACAATATGTTATGACACGTAATGTTATGATTATGATACCCTTCTACTATTATGCAATGAATACGTTCATTCCATTGATTACAGGCAACTTGCTACTGTAGTGTAGGTCCTTATTATCTGATACTAAGGCAATTTGGCTAACAAAAATTACAGTCATTACAATAGAATTAACTATTCTCTTCTTCCACAGTACCGCAACTTCAAGATTGTGTACAGAAGATATGCTGGTCTTTACTTCTGTATCTGTGTAGATGTAGGAGATAACAATTTAGCATACTTAGAAGCAATACATAACTTTGTGGAGGTAAGTATTTTTTTACTTGCAAATAATTGTACTTGTGGTTGGACAGGCAGTTATGGGTTGCCTTTATTTGTTGTACAAAGCTAGACAAGCGTATAAATACATTTTGGGAAGCAGTACCTTTTTAAAAATATTCAAACAAAGTGCTTTACCCATGCAAATGTTATTATAGTTTAAGACTTTAAGTAACCTATAAAAAGATCTTTCTGTTATGTAGGGATGTTCCTCTTTGCATTTTGAACATAACATTATTAGCTGGCTGATTGCTTTTTTACCAGATATAAGAGAAACTATGAAAGAATAATAAGCCCTTATTTTTTTATATTAGTTTATCACATTTTGTGTAATTCATGTTGCTTCATACTATTTTACTTGGTTTTGTATCTTTAATTCTTCTTTCTACATTTTTCATACTAGATTTGCTTAAAGTCTAAATCTTTAATAGAACTAGCTCCAACATCTCATATGTTTGTCAGTTCAGATATTCTCATGCAATCTTTGCCACTTCTTCTGTCTCCCAATTTTCAGGTGTTGAATGAGTATTTCCACAATGTTTGTGAGCTGGATTTAGTCTTCAATTTCTACAAGGTATACTCAGTTGTGGATGAGATGTTCTTAGCTGGAGAGATCAGAGAAACGAGTCAGACTAAGGTCCTTAAACAATTAATGGCACTTGGGCAGTTAGAGTAAACACAATTATTCCAAAATATTAGATTTTAGTTTTCCATTGTGAAATGCTTCAAAATGTCTCCTTTACCGCTCCCACTAGCCAGGTAAGCTATTCCTGATCAACCATGTAATGTTGGATAGTGCATAATGAAATTTGAGATTAACAGTGAGCTCTCTTAATTCTTTCACAAAAGCAGGCAAAGAAGTTTAAATTGAAATTTTACCAAGGACTTTCAATTTTCCAAAGTGGTTTCCATAATAAATTGTGCCGTCTATCCAAGTCAATGGCTATTATTTTTTTTGTAGAGGTAAACTTATCACATTGCTATTGTTAATATTCCAATTGCTTTGTTGGTAGTTGAGAATGCTTAAAACACAACTTTAGACTTAACTTCGATGTGTTTTTTTAGCTCATATGGTTGGTGGTGTAGGGAGACATTTTGAAAGTAGTTTGTATCATCCTTAATATGTATAAATTTATATCTGATATGAAACTTGTATAGTAAGTGTATTACTAAATGTTGCTGTAAATCCATGTGTACATATATTCTATGTGATCCATTGTGTTTTTGTCCTGTTCAGCAATGGACCAACTATACCAGCCATATTTGTTGTAAACTCTCTTATGTGAAATAAGTTACATGTTAACAACTCCACATACATTAATGAGGTTACAATGTGTTTTGTAACATTGCAATTTTCAGACACCGCTTTATCCCTATATTTTTTTTTAAAGATGGGGTTCCATTGTCAGTTTCTATCAGCAAAAATCTGTTTTCTAACATTGATAAAAATGAGTATATTGTAAAGTAGAACCTTTCGTTTCCAAGAATACTAGTAAACCTGAAAATTAAGTCACCTGCTCATGATCAATGATGCTAATTCAATGCTTCTGTATACATTAAAATTAGTTTTGACAGGAAACGGGTTAATAAAGTACATTGATCATATCAGGAATTAAATAAATGAAAATGCATGGTTTTTCCATCAGTAAAGCAATAAGAATCTGATTTTCAGTCAAGATGGCTGTAATTTGGTTAGGGTACATAATGTGTAAATGTAGTGAACTTCTCAGTATATGAATTACTTGAGAAATGTAGGTCTGCCCATTATATCTACCGGTACTCAGACGTTGTGTATCAAGTATCACCCTATATCTTCTATACATATTACTGCAGAGTCAGCAATCCTGAAATGTAATGAACTTTGTATTTTTTTTGTTTACTGATAATAAGGAATTATTTTCATGACACATAATGTTGTCAACTTGTCATGGATGAAGAGGTTGACAATGGTTGTGTAAAATATATTTGTAAAGCGCTTAAAGACATCGTCAATGTATTAAGCTCTATATAAACGCCGAATATATATTATTAACCAGTTAACTATTTCAACTCAAATTGCAAGGGCTTTAAACATGGCTGCCTTGAGCTGTGATATCATCTGTTTGGAGCCAGAAGGGCACTAACTCTGTGTTAAAGCAATCAAGTTAACACAATCAAGTTAACACACTCTCAACACACTATTTAATGTAGAATAATCAGCAGGAGTGTTACTGAATCATGTGCAAAGAAGTAATTATGTCATTTCAAACAGCTACCAGTATTTCATGTAATTTGAACAACATTAAATAGTCACGCAAGTCCAAACATTTCATGCATTGTATACTGTAAAAGGTGAATGTAAAATAACCTAATGTAAAATAATGCAATGCAATACGTTATCTGTTCTAACTCTCATTTTGACAAGATTAGAACACATGATTATGTTATATTGTATTTCAAAGGTACATGTAATGCGAGCTAGAAAGACCCTGTTGTTCTGCAGTATCCAGTTTATATTTTTAACATACATGTAATAGTATACAAATGTGTATTTGATTATTCATGTATACTGTAAATTAAATATTGTGATATCTTTTAAGCAGTGAAGGCATTAGTAATTGTGATTGTTCATTCTTATTGGCTACTCAATAAACTGCCTTGTGCTTTGTGAACATATTCTCTATTGCTTCTGTCAACATTGAATGGTGCTTAGGGTTCGGTAGCTGTAGTGATGCATATTGTATAATGATAGTGTGGATTTTCTTACTTCTTTCAACTCATTTGGTATCTCTTTATATCACTCATTAGTTAGATGAAACCCCCAAATCCAATGCAGGTCCTCTGATTGATGCTTGATGGTCAATTTGCATTTGAACTTTAAAGATATTTTATTGACTTCTTGTTTCGACTGTTTATCACCATCAAATTATAATTTAGTATATACTTTACTTACAAAATTTAACCGACTTCTCCATCTATGTATTCAGTGTTTCTATATCAGTGCAACTTTTCTTCCCCTTTAATTTATCTCTCTCTCCATATGTGTATATCTCTTTCTATCTCGTTCTCTTGCGTTTCCTTTGCTGTGTATCTGGCTTTTATCACACATACCCTGTAATTTCTCATTTTCTACACATTTCACAACTTAGTATCTTTACATTTACATGTATTTCTGTCTTTCTTTCTCCCTCCCTATCCTTCTACCGGTACTTCCCTCTCTCCCTCTCTTCCATCTCTCTCTCTCTCTCTTCCCATAATTTCCCCCAATTACATCTAAACTCAATTATCTATTTGGTGAGCTGTTTTCTTTCCATCACTGGGTTACAATACAATTCTCTTTCCTCCCCCTTTCTTCCTCTTGACTTTCCAAACATATCCATCCCTGTCACTATTCTTTTCTTCTACAACGGTTTCAAAATGTTCTTTCCCTCGTGCACACATCTATATCAAAAATGAAGAAAGGACAACAAATAGAAACATTCATGTAATTTTTAGATTCTTTAACACTGTCCATTGTGACATACACAGCAACAAAATATAAATGTGCTACCATAGGAACATTAACAAAATGTGAACTGAATATTGTTTCAAAACAATTACATGTGTTGATAAATGATCATTAGTTCCTTACACCTTTTGATCAATTATATTTTACTAACCCACATTCTTGTATAGTACATGTACAAAATACACTAGTAGCCGTATAAACAAGGAATTCACTTTGTGCCCCTAAAATTAAAATATACAGTTTGTATTAGCTGCTTGTTATTTCAATGTTTCTTAAAATTTCTGATAGCACATACAATGCATTTCTTAAATTTACTTGGGTTTCGTAACACATGAGATATTTTAAGCTTTGTAAATCAAAATCCAGATCTACATAAAGTGAAATACATAACATCAGTTTTTTTTCTTCCATACATGAACTTTCATATTTTCTTGTATGAAAATAAATGGTACATGTACATATATAACTTTCTTACAATCGATGCATCATAATTACAAAAGCCATCATGAAAATAGTGTGTTCCATGAACAATGTACTATAATTAATCCACATTATTTTCATACAATTTTTTTTTCATCCCTACTACCTACAGTAACCATACTGCAGTAATATGTCATATACATGTATGTTACACAATTACTGTATTCTTGTAAATGGAATAAGCTAATCCTTATGACCAATATTAATACACACTGTAACAAGAAATAAGCATGGCAAGCCAAACAATGAAAGGTTTACAATCGGCATTCTCTATTTTGATGGATCAGGAGAATAAAACAATTCTACATCTTTCACCATCTCTATCGACTGTTTGTCAGTGTAAATACATATTCACCTCAGCCGTAGAACCAATTAGTATCTGTCATTTATACTCTGTCAAAACAGGTCATCTCCTTCAACACTGCATTAAGTGATGAGATGTTACAGCTGATTTTCATTACAAAGAGAACTTTGATTGAACAAGTTTAACAAATGTAAGGAAGTATCTATACTAAAAGTGCATGAAAACCTCACATCAAACTAACAAGATATAGAATCACACAGAAAATAATCTCTCAAATCCCAGTCCAATCTTTGGGAATTTCATATGGGACGGCCTAAAGTGCTCAATTTGGGTCTATTGCAACAATTACGACCACCTATTCTTCAGGTATTTTTATTTCTAGAATCAAGTAAATAGGTCAGACAGGGCTCACATGAAGAGGTTGCCTGGATGATATTGACCAAATAAAATCACATTTAAAGTGCTTACCTCGAAGTCCAAGTGGCACATGAAATTTCTCACCTCATAGTATGGGTATAATATGTTTCATTAGAAGTTTGCACAATCTACATTGAATGGCCACCAAAAGTTGACATGGAAAGCTAAGAACCCTGATAATGTTTCAACACACCTTCCATATTCATAATCTGCCTCATCAATGTCCTCACAAAGTGCAATTTATACCACGATTTGACATACTGTAATTAATTCCACCACAAATCCTTACACACTCCATAAAATGTCATGGTGGTTCAACACCTAGGTGAAACTGATGCATATGATTGACATCAAACTTTTGTATACCAATATTTACAAGACATACAGTATCAAAACATTTTGATTGAACAAAATCTTCAAAATATATATGCTAATACAGTGATGACAGAATGGAATTCGATTATTGATATATACAAATTTGTCTTCTATACAATGTACAATTTAGGTCACAAATTATAGTACTGTTAATCTATCAGAGAGCGTAAGGCAGTTGAAGCACCAATGACCATATATTCAATCATAACATAATTTTTACATTGGTTTATTTTCACACATCACTAGCAACTAGACATCAAGAGATGTTATTTCAATCAAATGTACAGGTACTGATGAGATTGTTGCAAATGATACCAAGAACTTACACTATTTTATGTTAAATTTCATGAGTTTGTGTAATAAGCCCCACGCCCCCTCAAAAAATGAAACTTTGTCTAATAACAAGTCTCATAGTTTCTGAGATTAATGGAAAAATATGTATGCATGAAGCTAAATATGCTATATCTAGATTACATACAATCATGCAAATTGACATAATTTGTTCTTCTATTGTGTCTTAGAGCTCCCATTCATCTTGGACATGTACAGGAACAGCACTCCTTTGCCTCCTCCCACGGGGTGATGCATTCTCTAAAGGATTCCTTGGGGATCTAGGGTATCTCTTAGGGGTCCTGTTATCCCTGTCTGGTGTTAGTCTACCCTTGGATCTGGCAGGAGAAGGAGACTTGACCAGTCTCTTGACCGGTTTGACAGGTGATCTGTGTCTGATAGCGACTGGTTTCCTACTACCAGGGGTACAAAGTCTCGCACGCTGGACAGGTGTGAGGGGTGTTGCTAGTCTTGGATCCAAAGGAGCTGGTTTCCTGGTCCTGGGCAGATGTGGTGAGTTGTTATCTCTGAGCGGTTTGACAAGAGGTACGCTGGACGCTTCATCTTCCACCTCGAAAGCTTTCTCTCTCTTGAGTTTGGAAAATGAATCACTCTCTTGGAAAGCCGTCTTTTGGCCCTGGGAGACGGGACGCCTTCTTCTGATGGATGGTGGAGTTGAGGGGTTCTCTTTGTTGTCGGGTGTGGAAACATTCTGCATAGATCTGACATTCCTCATATGACGTATCATAGGTGGCTTGTTGACAGAGGTTACTGGGGTACTGATGTCAAGCATGGACTGTGAACTTTGAATAGGGCGGCTTTGATTGGATGTTGGAGCAGTATGTTCTTCTTTTGGTGTTGAGATGTTCTCCATAGAAGAACTGAGAACCTTCAGAGTTGCTTTACTCCCAACAGCTGTCAAGAATGAGTCATCCACGTCTTTGCTTCTTGTTGACATTGGATGCCCAGCAGCCTGAAGATTAGAGATACCACTGTCCATACTAGTTGATTTAGTCAACGGTGTCAGAGGTTTGGTGACTGATTGCGTTTCCTTTTGGCTATATGCTCTTGTCTTTCTCACACCACCAAGAGCACTAACATTGAAGTTTTGATCACTCGTAGAAAATGAGTTAAAGAGTTGAATGTTAGATTTGACGATGCTCGAGTTCTTGTTCTTTCTCCCTTTCTGATCACCCTTTATGGGTAGGGTCTTGGAATGACTCCCTCTGAATTTCTTCATATCTGATTTGAGGGCAGCATTTATCAAGTTCTGCTTATCACTTTCACTCGCAGTATTATCAACACTGTGTGGCACCTTGAATATGTCATCTTTGCTAACCTTGCCATCTGCAGAGCTTAAAACCTTAGCCTTATCACTTGCATCAAATCTTTCATTGCTATTGTAAGTTTTTAATTCATCAGCTTCTCCTTTGTTTCCTTCAAAATTTTCCTCGATAGCCACTCTGTTCATAGTTCCCTGTTGGTCACCAGTATCACTTGGATCCTGCATCTCCTTTAGTTCTATGTGTGATTCTTTGGTATGCTTGATATCTATTTCTTTCTTCATCTCTTCTTCCTCTTCACTACCTTCATCCTCTACATCGGCATCCCAGCTGTCTTGCTTGCTTGGAAGCTTAGGTGGCTGTCTTTCTGGCTTCCCATCTATAGCGGCAACATGGAGGTCTTCCATTGAACAACCCTTTCCACTATCAATTGATTCAGATTTAGACATAGTACACTTTCCAGTGTCTGGTCTATACATAACATGGGAGTGCCCCTCGTTGCTCATGGTTTCCTTTGAGATTTGGATGTCTTTTATTTCTGGTTGATTTTCCCCAGGATGTGTCGTCTGACTACCATCGAAATGGGTTTCTTCTACAGGTGTATTTCCTGCAACAAGCGTTGTATCTTGGGGGTTTTCTGTTTCCATTTGAGTCATACCGTCAGAGCAGTCTTTTGAGGGATCTTCAATGGCCACCATGGTATCATCTTTGCATTCAAACACACATGGAGAACAGATGTCTGTTTCCATGTAGGTAGTTGTAGGTTGTTTCTCGGATGCCTCTGACCCAAACTGACTGAACTCTGATTTGAGGCTACCGACACTGATTCCAGAGAGCACACTAGATAGACTCATCTGACTCATAGATGGTGTCATTTCCTTAGCAGGGACACGATCTTCAGAGGAACTGTGCTTTACACTCTGGTCTACGATCTTCTGGAGATGTTTGTCTTCTGCTGAGCTTCCGGTTGCATAAACTATCTCAGCTGCTTTGATCTTCTGCCTAGTGCTGTCAGGAATATGGATGGATGGACTTGTTCGCTCCTTCCCCAACTTACTACCAATCAACTGGGAGGCATGCTCCTGTTGTTTCTTTACATACTCTGTAGCAAGGTTCGATTCACTTACCATAGTTATGTCAACCACCACAACCTTTGGTGATGCTACTGCCTTAGCTTGGGTATCTACAATCACTACTCTAGGTGAATCCCCAGCTGAGAATCTTATAGGTTTTATGGAACCACAAATATCATTCTCACTATCTGATGTGTGGAGCCTTGTAGATCGGCGAAGAGCTGGGGAAGCACCAGTCAGGAGTCGGGCTGGAGAGCTAGGAGTCTTGATGTGTCTACGAACCCGGCCGGGACTGTCAAAGCTTGGACTTGGTCGGACTTGAGGTTCAAAGAGCTTCATGGTGTCCAGGCCTCCATCTGGTGGTGAAGCGTTAGCTAGTCTCCAACCAACATCTTTGGTTTCCTTTTTGTTGTTTTCTTGTGTCTGAAAGTAATTCACCACACACATGTCTCAGTAATACTACAGGGAAGTGTTTTGTACACAAAATGTACACAAAGTTAGTCACAAAATGTAGTTTTGAAAAGTAAACAAACTAGAAGTCCCTTCATACAAATCTAATGAAACCAACATGAAACCATTGATATACATTTACTGTTATATTTTCATGAAGGTATTTCATTGTTTAAAGGAGTTGTGGTATTCATTTAATCAAAGTCATGCTTAGACACATAAGGCAGAGGAAAAGTAAAGTCTTACCTTGCTTGCTTTAGGAGACTTTGTACTGAATGGCTCTCCATCTAGATTGAGTGCCACAGATCTCCTGTGTAGTTAGAAAGAAAGAGAGAGAGAGAGAGAGAGAGAGAGAAAGAAACAGAGAGAGAAACAAAAACAGGTTTTACATCAATGTTTGTAAAAACTTTCATTCCTCGGTTAGCACACATGACACATCTTTATGCAAAAGAAAAACATTCTGACAAAAACAGCTTCAGAATCTGATCATATGGTCAACTCAAACACCAAATAAAAACCAAGTACTAGTACATCAACTTCTCTTATATATATGTTATTAAAGAACACATCAGAACAAGACTTTTGGTTGTTGTTGGACACATATTTTATTCAACAGATTGTCACAAAGTTAACATATTCATCAAATTAGCACCAAGAAAGCTTGGAATATCAGAGAGAACTTCTATTCATAATTCTTTGTTTACCTTTTTAGTTTCCTTGCACTGAGTTCCTTAAATTTTTTGAGTTTGCTTTTGGGTGTTTCCTGGCCCCTGTTATGTCCTTTGGAGAACATCTCCCTCCCAGCCAGCCTGCCAGGGGTGTGTCCAGCAAAGGAATCATCAGCATACACAATGGATGGCGTACCATACCTGAAGAGTGTCTCGCCATCTGCTGTGACAGCATCTGTGATCATGAGTTAAGATGCATCAAAAAATGAAGAAAAAAATAGTCATATATCTGTTTCCTAAAACTGTGTACCGGTAGTTTACTATAAAGAAGAAGAAATATACCATCAATATCTTCTATTAGAAATTTAGTTCTTTTAAAAACAGGTTGGTTCTGTTAAAACTGGTCATTGTTATATACACCTACCGCCTCAGGATACATCATCTTGAGAGTAATTCTAATATACTCTTCATCCCTACGATTTGAGTTTCACTATGAAAAATTTATTTTCTGTTAACTAGTGCTTTGCATCATTCATATACAGATATTCCATTCCTAACCCTTGACAGAACATTAAATCAGTTTTAACTATCTGCTTCACAGAGCCGCGAGTCTGTAATGAGAGGGATTGAGACTGAACAGTTCAGAGGGTGAGCATTTGTTAGCCCACTCTGAACCAAGCTAGTGTATGAGGGTTTACCTGCTTCGCCCAGGGCTGGATGAGAATGTTGATTAGGTGTTCCTTGATGATGAATCTTATGGAGATGTAGACCTGGTTTGCTAAACTGAGGATCTGTTGTCATCTTGTGCAGCAAAACTTTCCTGTGTAGTGAACAAAATATGAATTTTAAGATTTTAGATTTACATAATTAGACCTGTAATTTCCTTTGATTGGTTTTGCTTCAATTCTGAAGTTCATGAGTCCGCATTATAAAATACTCACATTTTAAAAATTATTCCTAAACAAACATGGTACAGACAATTAGAGTATTTAACACTGCTATTTTGTCAAAAATGAACAGAAAATTACTTGTCTTCAGAGAAAAAATGGACGACGAGAGATTGTAGATATAAAATTGAGAGGTGAAAATTAATGCTCTTCCTACCTCTTGTTGGAAGTAAATGCACTGCCGATATCTTCACTGGCTTTCCGCTTCATGATCTTTGGTGACTCCGCTGAAATGACAAGAAATTTTATAATAAGTTAGCAATGGGAACAATTAACTGTGCAAAAGTGTTTGTCCTTGAAGCCTAATTTGCATAAAGTAAACAACTTGTTTACGCTAAACCGCTACGAAACAGTCTCAGCTAAACTGTAACTCTTACTCATAAATTTTGCAGTTAGATGTCAGACCCGAGCAAAACGAAGCGCTTTTCTTTGAATTGTTTAATCTGAAAATATTTTCCATCATTACACCAGATCAATACTTTTGTACTTGATAAATCAAAGTACATCAAAATTTTCCTCTGAATATCTTTTCATAATTTTATGTCCCACGGTCATGTCGGGAAAAAAAAGAAAAAAGGCAATGTCATCAAGGAACCCATGGCGAAACATTCTTGGAAGCGTACGTGTGGTCCCATCTATAGGGGTATGTGCAGCATGTTTACCACTCGAGTGTAGTCCAACATACTGTTATACCTGCAGGACTTAACACAGTTTCAGTTTGAAGATTTCATTAATTTTTCTCTGACTGCATTGCAGGGGGGGGGGGGGGGATTACCATCTTTCTATGGAGTAGAATTCCAACAGGTATCTAATAAGTTTCTTTTTGGATGATTGTTGTACATCTGCATGTTAGCACATTCAAAATAAAAACTGGCAATATTATAGTTGAATTACTTAGTATTACTCACTATTATGCGTATCAGTAGCAGTAGATAAGATGCTCTCCGTTGAAGAGCCTGTTTTCAGAATGCCTAAGCTGTGTCCAAGACCATTCACTAGCACTATGGAAAGGAATGAAAATATTAGAGTGAGTTACCTGACATAAAGCCACAAATTGATATCACTAAAATCATAATTTCCAAATGCATTTCATTTCCATTTCTAATTCTTATTTCATTTACATTAACTCTGACAAGTGACCAGTAATTTGGAATTGCCATATTCAGTAAATAGGGGGGATGTTGGAACTACTTATTTCACAAATCAAATTCACAGATGATTCACTTAGTTTGGCAATATCCTACTTCACATCACAGAATGTGATCTAGGCAATCAGCTCTGACAAAGTTGAGTTGACAGGGGAATATTTTGAAGTACGTACAATGTATGGTTATGTAATGATTATATAAAGTCAATCAATACTGCTAAATCAAATTCATGTTCTTCACTTAAGCATAAGGCAACCCTTCAATCAAATGCTTAACATTTTGTTTAAAGTCATATTATGGCATTTAGTTAAAGAAATGATTTTTGTTCATCTGAGAAACAAGTTGCTATCACGCAAAGTTGCAAATAGCCCAACAGAATGAATTGCAGCTGAGCATAATGTACTATTGCCTTTGTCTCTACACTCTACATGAATTGCAAATAATACAGCGTAAACAAAATAAGATGTACCTTGGAATGATGTTCCACTCTTCCTCCTACGTCGTCTAGATAGTCTTCCACACTCTTCTAGATTATCATCGCTCTTTTCCAGCTCGTCCTCTGATGTGAGACGATCCAGGTACTCTCTGGATTGGTTATGACCTGCAATCTTCTCTATCATCCATTCAGGGACCTCACCAATTAGCCTAGCATTCTCAATCATCAAACTAACCATACTTGTCTGTAACCCTATCATCTTCTCTGGGTTCTTCTTATCAAGGGCTGTGAATGTCCCGAAGAAGTTAGGTGTGAACACCTTGGCAAGGTTGGATACGTCCATGCGGTTTTTCTCCGACCTTGAGGCGACACGGTTTAGGAAGAGGACGATGAAGCGCAAGGTCTGAAGGTTGAGTGATGGCAAGAGATGGCAGATGTTGAGGACGACCCATCGCTGCTCTGCGATGTCTTCTATCTGTGAGCACTTGTAGAAGGCACTCTGGAGTTTAGGTGTAATGAGTGGCTCAGGGAGGGTGTGGAAGAACTGTTTGAAGAGACTGCACACATCTGCTGCATTGGCATCATCAGGAATGCAAGAACCATTCTCTAGTTTTTTCTGAAGGACGGATGATAAATAAGAGAGAGATAAATATAAAAGTTAAAACATATTACCGAGAAAATTACTTCTAAAGCATTCTCAATATTAGCGTTCTGAAGTTCAGGACAAGAAATACCCATTTTTCATAAACAAATACCGGTTGTCGTGTGTAGAAAGCCCTTTTGGTTAGATTTAGGCAAGACTGTGACGTCACTAGCGATAATTAAGAAGCTAGTATTGATTTGGCCGCTTGGAGGCGCTGTTAGGCGTGCTGCTAATTTCCATGTTTCGGAAAGGTTATGTTAACCGGAGATGCCATTGATATTTGTCTAATTTCGATACAAGCCCAATGATGTGAGTAAACTATGCATGTTATCTTGAAGTTAAAGTCTTAATGTATCTTTCTAGCCTATTGGCTTTATAAATTATGAGATTTAAGTGACATTTGTGATGCCTTATAAATGAAAGGCCGAGAGTACACGTGTATGTGAAAGTGCACGTGTATGTGAAAGTGCACGGGTTTGTGTGCATGTATTATGTAATGTACTTGTCAGTACGTGTAATGTACTTTGATAATGAATCAGGCGTATGTGGGCATTTACGTTTAGGTATTGTTTAGCTATCAAAGTAAAGATGAACGATATGAAATTATAAGAGGCATATTATGGAGTTTGTAGCTCAGCTGGATTATAATGAGTGTGCATGCTCTCTACAAAGAGAGACAAAATTACTATCATGCAGCACTAGAAACATTGGTGCAGTGCATGATTTGATTTGTTATGTCAAGGTTGTGATTATGAAGGTATAGGCCTGTAGACTTCTACATTAATCACAATCTATTCAGTTCATATACGATGAAGGAATTTAATGGTTTATTTAATTGTAACAAGTGTGGAAAGACCCACAGAGTATTATAGACCAAATTGTATGACAATTTATCTTGGTTTAAGCAAATAACAATAGGAATTAATACAAACAATTGAACTAGGGTTGCAGTATTGTATTTCACTGAGGTGAAGTTTATTACATCTAAAAGGGTATCATTTCATGATAAATGAGTTATAATGGCGACATATGACTAAACAAATGTTTATATGTTTACATTAAATTGCAGATTGAACCTGCATTGTTTGCACGGTATCTTCATGGTTTGTCAAGTTCTGTCATCGATGGTGTCGAGGTGTTTTGGAAGTCACATCAAGTTCAATATCAGCTTGGATAAGTGAGAACGTCAAGCAGTCACCAAGCAGTCATCATGAGTGAAGTACAACCGGAGGACTCGGTTAGCCAGAGTGGCAGAAGTACTGCTGTTAGTTCCAGTGCCAGAGTAAAGACACTAGCAAAGAAGGCGGTCCTCAAAGCTGAGGTGGAGGCTCTTAGACAGCACCAGGAGTTAGAGCTTGAAGAGTTGAGGCTCAAGCAGAGGAAAGCTGAGTTGGAGCTGAAGACAAAGCTCAGAGTAATGGAAGCAGAGGAGCTTGTCTATCGCCAGTATGAAGATGATCTTGTGAAGGCTAGTGAAGGAGATGAGGTTACCTTCAAGCCTCAGTCTGTCAATGATGACAGCACATTGCCATATCCTGCAACGGATACACCTCAGAAGCAGAACATTGACGTTGAGGTATCAAGAGCACCTGAGTCAACGCCAAAGGCCAGTGATGAGTCACACAGAGAATCCAGAGATCATTTGGACTACGAGATCTTAGGACATTTGAGGCAGGGCCAAATGCAACAACAGCAGCTTCTTGAATCCATAAATTTGCCAAGTGCCGAACTAATGAAATTTGATGGTGACCCATTAAAATATTATGAGTTTGTACAATCATATGACTGTATGATTGGGGACACGTCATTGTCCAGCAGTGGAAAACTCATGAGACTGTTTCACTGTTGTGAAGGAGCAGCAAAGAAACTCATCCAGTGCTGCATGATGATGTCACCGGATCAAGGGTACCTAAGAGCTAGGGGGCTCCTTGCTGAGAGGTTTGGTGACACTCACAAGATTGAAGAAGCCTGGTTGAGGAGAGTTACGGACGGCCCAGCTGTACTAAACAACTGCAAGCAGCTGCGGGATTTTGCTGATGAGCTGCAGACCTGTACAGAGACCCTCAAGGCAATGGGTGTGCTCCAGGAATTGAGTACCCAGAGAGAATTAGTGAAGCTGATCGAAAGATTGCCCTACCAGTTGAGGAGTCGGTGGCTTGGCCAAGTGAAGAGAATCCGTGATACCGGAAGGTCACCTGTAATCTTTGATGTTGTTCGATTTGTGAACGATGCTGCTGAAGAGATCAATGATCCCGTCTACGGAGCTCTAGTTCAGGGAGGATGGAAAGAAGGACGCAGTTTCAAGGCCAAAGACAAGGATAAGGTTTCGATTCCAAACCGATACCATTCTTCCAAAGGAAACTTCTCGGCATCGCTCAGTCCTCAGAAGTGCGCTCTCTGCCATGCTGATCATGGATTGTTTGGTTGTCAGCGGTTCAAGGATATGAATCCTGAGCAACGTTTCCACTTTGCTCGTGAACAGAGACTCTGCTTCAATTGTCTACAGCCAGGGCATATGTCCTTTAAGTGCACCTTGAACAGGACCTGTTCAGTGAAGGGTTGCAAACAGAAGCACACAAAGTTTCTGCATACCGGGAAGCAGATGATGTTTAGCCGTGGAGATAGGAATTCTTCTTCCAAGAAAGCAGAGAGAGATAGTGGTCAATCCAACTCTATGACCCAGACTGATGACAGAGCTTCCGGCAGTGAAGCTTCCTCTTCGCATGCAAGCAGTAATGCCACGGGGGCCGGAAGGTATAGAGTTGCTCTTCCTATAGTACCAGTGAAGGTACGAGCAGCTGATGGCGATACAGTTGTAGAGACATTTGCACTTCTCGATTCAGGATCGACAAATTCATTTTGCCTTAAGGAGTTGGTGGATGAGCTGCAGGTTAAAGGCAAGAGTAAGATCCTGTCTGTCTCTACCTTGGAGAAAAGGAATAGCCGGTTAAGATGTGAAGCAGTAAACATCAAAGTCATGGGACTTGCCACACAATCTGAGCTTGACGTGGAGGTTCACACACGTCCCAGTTTGAATATCAGCATAGCTAATATGGCAGAAGAGGCAGATCTAGCTAAGACTCCACATTTACAAGGTCTTAATCTTCCAGTCGTCAGTAGAAGCCAGGTCACATTGCTGATAGGGCAAGATGTTCCTGAGGCGTTGATGCCCCTTGAGGTAAAGGCAGGTAGACCTGGAGAGATCTATGCTGTAAGGACAGTTCTAGGATGGACATTGAATGGACCCCTAGGAGACAGAGAAGGTCGAGATAATATCCAAGTCTCAACAAGCTTTATCTCAGACGATAGTAATGCTGGTTTGGAGGAACAGGTGAAGAAATTCTGGAAGCTAGAAGGAATGGAATACCTGTATGATGATAATAGAGGAATGTCAATAAATGACAAGAAGGTATCTGAGTTCTGGAAGAAAGAGATTAGCATGGACAACGGTCACTATCAACTGCCTATTCCCTTTAGAGAAGAGAACCCAAATTTGCCTGAGAATCGCTACATGGCAGAACAGCGATTAGAGTCACTGAGGAGGAAACTCAGCAAGGATGATTACCTTATGGGTAAATACAAGGAAGGGATGTCCAGCCTTTTGGAGAAAGGATATGCTGAGGAAGTACGTGTAGACAAAACAACTGAAGTCCAGATTCAGGACAGACAAGAGAAATGGTATCTTCCTCACCATCCTGTTATCAATCCCAAGAAACCAGGAAAGGTACGCATAGTCTTCGACTGTGCAGCTAAGTGTAAAGGAGTAGCTCTCAATGATGCTGTATTGCAGGGTCCTGATCTTACCAACAAACTGACAGGAGTACTCCTTAGATTCAGAAAGGACCGTATCGCATTAACAGCTGACATAGAGGCGATGTTTCATCAAGTCAGAGTACCGTCATTTGAGAGAGATGTGCTGCGATTCCTGTGGTGGCCGTCGGGAGATTTGTCAAAACAGTGTCAGGTTTATCGCATGTGTGTACACCTTTTCGGTGGGACATGGAGTCCCAGTGCTTGCAGTTTTGCCCTTCGTCAGACTGCGGTTGATAATCAGCAGGATTACGAGGCTGACACTGTAAAGACTGTTCGCGAAAACTTCTACGTTGACGATTGCCTTGTGTCAACAGATAGTGAAGAAAGGGCCATTAAATTGGCAGCACAACTCAGGGAACTACTCAGAAAAGGGGGATTCAGGCTAACGAAATGGTTGAGTAACAGTCCCACCGTGCTACACTCAATACCTGTTGAGGAAAGAGCCAAGGAGTTGACTGGAGTCGACTTGAATCATGATGCCCTCCCAGTTGATCGAGCTCTAGGTATCAGCTGGAATGTTGAGGCAGATAGTCTCGGGTTCAAGATTTCACCGAAGGACAAGCCTCTCACGAGACGGGGATTGCTGAGTGTTGTTTCATCGATGTATGACCCGTTAGGATTTGCAAGCCCATTCGTCGTAAGAGGGAAGTTGATCTTGCAAGAACTGTGTCAAAAGGGACTTGCATGGGATGATCCTATTCCTGAAGTCTACAAGCAGAAGTGGATGGTGTGGCTCAGTGAACTACCAGAAATAGAACAGTTTGCAGTGAACAGATGCATAAGACCCCATGAATTCCCTGAAGTGGTGGAGTATGAATTGCACCATTTTTCTGATGCTTCTGAAGTAGCATATGGGGCAGCATCATATCTAGTATTGAAAGCTGAAAATGGTCAGGTGCACAGTGAGCTGTTGATGTCAAAGTCTCGCCTTTCACCAATCAAGAAAATGACGATTCCACGTCTAGAGCTGTCTGCAGCAGCAATCAGTGTAAGACTGGACGCCTTTCTAAGACAAGAACTGAATGTGCTAGTGGGAAGTTCTCATTTCTGGACAGATAGCACAATCGTCATACGATACATAACAAATGAGGAAAGGCGGTTCCGGACTTTCGTGGCTAATAGAGTTGCAGCAATCAGAAATAAATCCAGCCCAGAACAGTGGCATTATGTGGATTCAAAATCCAATCCAGCAGACGACGTGTCTAGAGGGCTGACTGCTGAGGAGCTGAAAACCAACCAGCGATGGGTGCACGGTCCTAAATTCTTGCTGCAAGGAAAGGAGAACTGGCCTACTGATCCATTTATAGTGGGAGAGCTTTCAGATACTGATCCAGAAATCAAGTTGCCCAAGGAAGATACAAGTTCATTCAGCACAGAAACGGGTAATGAGAAAGCCTTAGACAGGATGATTAACCACTATTCATCGTGGTTTAAGCTCAAGAGGGCTGTATGCTGGATGTGGAGATTCATTAAGTGGCTGAGAACCAAGAGAGAGTCACAGTTGAAAGTTGAAACAGAGGTGATCTCTAAGAGGATCACGTATGAAGAGATGAAGTATGCAGAGCAGAAAATTCTCCAGTATGAACAATCTTGCTTCTTTAGAGAGGAAATGGATGCACTAACTGGTGCAGATGGTGTAAAGAAAGCCAGCAGTTTATACAAGTTAGACCCTAAGATAGAAGGAGGTCTGATTCGAGTTGGAGGAAGGTTGAGTAGGTCAGCGCTACCACTCGAGGCGAAACATCCTATCATTATTCCAAAGAAAAGCCTCGTGGCGGAGCTAATGTTGAGAGAGGTACATGAGAAGACGGGACATAGTGGCAGGAGCCACGTGTTGTCAACTCTTCGTGAAAGATACTGGTTGCCAGGTGCTGGAACGGCTATCAGAAAGATGATGGGGAGATGTGTTGCATGCAGGCGGCAGAGGGCAAAAGTAATGCAACAGAAAATGGCTGACCTGCCCAAGGATAGACTGGTTCCTGATGAACCACCATTTACGAGAGTAGGCATGGACTACTTTGGGCCTATCGAAGTAAAGAGAGGTCGGAGTATCGTCAAACGCTATGGAGTGATATTCACTTGCCTTGCCATACGAGCTGTTCATATTGAAATGGCTTATTCATTGAGCACAGACTCTTGTATAGATGCAATACGACGCTTCATAGCTCGCAGAGGCAATGTCAAGGAAATCAGATCAGACAATGGGACCAACCTCGTCGGAGCAAAGTTGGAATTGAGACGAGAGATAGAAGGGTGGAATAAAGCCCAGTTGAATGAAGAACTACTCCAGAGGAACATAAAGTGGACATTTAATCCACCTGGAGCGTCACATTTTGGCGGAGTCTGGGAGAGACAGATTGGGACGGTGAGGAAATTGATCCTCGCTCTGACGAAGCAGCAAACACTCGCAGACGAAAGTTTGAATACGCTACTGTGCGAAGTAGAAGGCATCATCAACAATAGGCCCATCACCAAGGTTTCTGATGACGCCAGCGACGTAGAGGCATTGACTCCAAATCACCTGCTCCTGCTGAATAGGAAACCACATCTACCTCCAACGATGACTGAAGAGTCTGATACATACGCTAGAAGAAGGTGGCGTCAAGTGCAATACATGGCTGATCTCTTCTGGAAGCGCTGGATAAGGGAGTACCTACCACAACTACAGGAGAGGGAGAAATGGGTAGCATCGCGTCGAAATGTTCAAGTCGGTGATGTTGTGCTTGTGGTCAATAATAACGCCCCGCGGAATTTGTGGCAGTTGGGTAGGGTTCTCAAGACGATGCCTGACAAAGGAGGTTTTGTCCGTAGCGTTGAAGTCAAGACAAAGAATAGCGTGCTTGTGAGACCAATCTCCAAATTGTGTTTGGTTTTGGAAGCCGACGTTTAAACTACTTTGGAGAGATTTCTGAATTTGAGAGATAGGAAATTATCAAATATATTGATGTAGGATTGTGATAAAAGGAATACCAATTTGATTCTTTTTATTGTGCCTTATCATTTTTGGAAAGGGAATGTGGAGTCGCGCAACGACAAGATGATTCATTTGAGCGGGTTCACTAGCATAGTAATTCGACGAAAATTGATCTACAGAAGTTTATTTAAACAACTGAATGGAACTGAGAGATATTCCAGCCACGTTTGACAAGAAACTGATTAACTCTAAAGACTGAAAATTGAAAGGACTCAAAGACTCATGGACTGACAGTCATATTCAGCTTATTTATTGTCATAAATGTCACTTTCAATGCTAAATTTTCATTTTTCTTGTAAAATTCAATATTTAAATGCCTTTATCCCACAGGAACAGTATAGGTGTTAATGCATGCTGGTGCATGTTAGCTTTGTTTATAATCTGGACAAATTATATATGCAAGGTTTAGCAGATAAATTTTCTGGAGAATTCTGGTTAATATCTAGTGTTGACTTATTTGTCAAAGTTTGAATACCTTTGTTGGAAATACAGTGTAGCAGAATGCCAAATTGTTAAAAAAAATTAGCAATAAGAAAAAATAGGTGTTTACATGTTTGCTAATTTCAGTCTGTTAAGACCGAACACAGAGAATGTTAAGGGGTTGTAGCAAGGATGATTTCATTATTTTTTCATATAGCATGTTTTGGAATACATTGCATTAGTAATTTGGTATACAGTACATGTATGTTGAGTTTGTAAAGGCTTCCAGTGGTAAAGAAGATGTGTTAATACATAGCAGATGGAAGGACAATGACTCAATTTATTGCTAGAGGAATGGCATAAGGTCATAAAGGACAATTACATGTATGTTCAAAGTTTGATTGAAACAAAGTGAAGTGTTTATTGGAGACGTTAAGAGTGATCTACCAATAAGTATATTCAAGTTTGTCACAAGGAAGTAAACAAACTTAATTTGTGGTTGACCAAGTTTAATGCCAACAAATGCATATTTGTTTTTTACCACACCGGTATAGAAAGAGTTAAAAGATATGTTTAATTCAGGTATTGCTACCAACTGTTATTGGCAGTGGTTTAGCTAGATTAACAATGATGTGTTTTGGTTTAACTGCAAATTTGCATAATTTGCATAATTTGCATAATTTGCATAAATTTGCATAATGGTTGAATATTGGTTTAAAACAATATACATGTACAAGTATCTACATGTGGTTGTTGTTGTGATGCTATAATTCTTAAAATTAAGATTATAGGTTAAATGTTATTTCAGGTAAATTTGTATAGAAAATTTAGAACAATTTCTTGCAAATTGACAACTTTGTTGTTTAGTTAAAGGGATCTTGTCACTTTTTTGATGAAGTTGAGTTAAGTAAATGTAATACAGTGCACGTAGTGAATGTTAGTTTAAATGTTCAGTAAAGCTTCACATTTAGGGGACCGGGATGTCGTGTGTAGAAAGCCCTTTTGGTTAGATTTAGGCAAGACTGTGACGTCACTAGCGATAATTAAGAAGCTAGTATTGATTTGGCCGCTTGGAGGCGCTGTTAGGCGTGCTGCTAATTTCCATGTTTCGGAAAGGTTATGTTAACCGGAGATGCCATTGATATTTGTCTAATTTCGATACAAGCCCAATGATGTGAGTAAACTATGCATGTTATCTTGAAGTTAAAGTCTTAATGTATCTTTCTAGCCTATTGGCTTTATAAATTATGAGATTTAAGTGACATTTGTGATGCCTTATAAATGAAAGGCCGAGAGTACACGTGTATGTGAAAGTGCACGTGTATGTGAAAGTGCACGGGTTTGTGTGCATGTATTATGTAATGTACTTGTCAGTACGTGTAATGTACTTTGATAATGAATCAGGCGTATGTGGGCATTTACGTTTAGGTATTGTTTAGCTATCAAAGTAAAGATGAACGATATGAAATTATAAGAGGCATATTATGGAGTTTGTAGCTCAGCTGGATTATAATGAGTGTGCATGCTCTCTACAAAGAGAGACAAAATTACTATCATGCAGCACTAGAAACATTGGTGCAGTGCATGATTTGATTTGTTATGTCAAGGTTGTGATTATGAAGGTATAGGCCTGTAGACTTCTACATTAATCACAATCTATTCAGTTCATATACGATGAAGGAATTTAATGGTTTATTTAATTGTAACAAGTGTGGAAAGACCCACAGAGTATTATAGACCAAATTGTATGACAATTTATCTTGGTTTAAGCAAATAACAATAGGAATTAATACAAACAATTGAACTAGGGTTGCAGTATTGTATTTCACTGAGGTGAAGTTTATTACATCTAAAAGGGTATCATTTCATGATAAATGAGTTATAATGGCGACATATGACTAAACAAATGTTTATATGTTTACATTAAATTGCAGATTGAACCTGCATTGTTTGCACGGTATCTTCATGGTTTGTCAAGTTCTGTCATCGATGGTGTCGAGGTGTTTTGGAAGTCACACCGGTAATCAGTTTAACTGGAGCAGATGGTGAAAAGAACACTTTAATTTGTAGCCTGAACTAAGTGACATATATGTACTGGTATATACCCATTTACCACACAGAAATAATAATTCTGTTATACATTTTTTTTTTTTTTAAAGCACAAAGTTCAACTACATGTATAGATGCTTACCTGTAGCTCTCGTTGTCTGGATTTGGAACCTGAGATACGGAATATGCCTTCCATGTCCAGATGACTGTCAAGAAACTTTGTACACTCCAATAAGAACCTGTAAACAAGAATCACGCAATCCAAAGCTTCAATGACTACCGGTACATTTTATATTATAATACAGGTACAGTTGTAATACATACAATGAACATTACACATCAAGATCTATTATCATTATTCATTGATTTACAAAATTAGCCAACATGTATTGTTTATTCAATGTCTTCCTTACCTGGGCACATGACATCTTGAGTCCTCATCTCTTACCAGCTCATAAGACTGTAATGCCTTACCAAACAAGGGAGATGCATGCATATCCTAAAAAAGAGAGAAAATAATGAGAAACGTGTTAAATTTCATTTGATGAATTTGTTTTGACCACCGTAACAGTAACGGGCATATGACCAGGGATGTATGACTTGAATAAGAGGAAAATATTTGCATAGATCCTCCTAAACTAGTGTACTGTAGAGACAACGCTTTTACAAAACATTCAAATGCTGAATTATCTTAAGTTTCTGAAAAATAAAAGAATTAAATATGAGTCCTATACGAATAGATCCACTGAGTATGACCATGACTCATGCAAAAAATTTCAATACAGAATAATAACGGAACATGATTTGGTCTACATGTACTATTAGTTTTACCATGCATGCTGCACTTACATGAAAGTACAGAACTGATTTAATACTGGTATGTCTATTTTCTATTTTTTGTTATTTTACTTCTTTCTTCACCATGAAATTAAAAGGGTACATTTTAAAATAGTGATATGATGAGTATGACATTATTCAAATTTCAAGTTTAACTCTCTAGACTGACTAGTTTAGCAAAGCCAAAGGGCGCTAGTCCACAAGTGTGCCCAAATTAGTCCAACTTTTAGAACATCCTAGAATGTACTTAAAATGAAATGATTAAAAGAGAATAAGAGATACTACAAATTAAAATGATCAACAATCCCTTCTCGGTGCAGAATAATTAGTCCAAGGTCAACTTTGCAGCTCTTACGCTCATTTGGTTGATTTTTAGGTATTTTTTCAGGACAATGCAATATAGCGTTGTGTACGTATGTACAGCGACTGAGAAGCGGAGGTATCGAGATTATACCCTGGAAAGACGATGGTTATCCACTCATTACTATGGATCTACTATACTTGTGTCTAGCATATCGCAAAACCTCCATCTTCTTGGTTGCTGTGTACGTACATTATACATACGATACGGTTAGAAATGTTTAGGATTAAATTGTTCAGAAAAAACGCTTAAAATTCAACCTGATCTTCAGAGTTGACCCTGAACTTGTTATTCTGCATCAAATGATCAAGAAGGTATTGTTGGGCTGCTTGGGCAGTTTTAGAGCATTTTTAGGATGTTCTGGAAGGTTGAATTAGCACCAGCGCGGTGCCAACGCCAGCTAAAGTAGGTCTAGATCTACTTGATTTAAAGTCCAAAGTCAAAGAAAGAGGATATTAATTGTCAAATGACAAGGATTGTGTCGTTACTGTTAGTGTGGCACTTGTTCAGAAGCCTATCCAAAATTTGACCCGTAACAGCGGCGTGGAGATACCCTACCAAAACATACCCAAAATGTAAATATTCATTAAATGTCCAAATAAAGATCATGAGTTAAAAGTCGTTATAAATGTTTATTACCTGTTTCGTGTCAATTCTTGTCATTTTTGGAATATTTTTCAAAAAAACGTTGATATTAGTAAACACTTTTTCACAGGTTTCATGGCAAACCGCTGCACAATACAAGTACATACTGATGGGTTGAGGGCGAGCGGCGCCTGTGTGAAGTTATCTACCGTAATAATGTTACGGTAGCTACTTCAGCTCAGGCGCGCGCTCGCCCACAACCCACCATCAGTATGCACTTGTAAGTTGTATTGTGCAGCGGTTTGCCGTGAAACCTGTGAAAAAGTCTACTAATATCAGTGTTTTTCCAAAAAATACTCCAAAGTTAAAAAACAAGAAAATTGACACGAAACAAGTAGGTCTAGATCTAGTAGACTAGACTACATCATACATGTAGATCTAGTAATATTAAACATAACGACTTTTAACTCATGATCTTTATTTGGACATGATTTAGTGAATATTTACTACATTTTTAGTAGAGGGTCTAGTCTATGTTTTGGTAGGGACTAGGCCTACTAGGGCTAGGGTATCTCCACGCAGGAGTTACGGGTCAAATTTTGGATAAGCACCGTTTGGCGTTCGCCGTTAGTGTAGCCTACTTCTGAAATTCCGTAGGCCTGACGTCTATCTAGACTACTATTTTCGAGATAATGCTACCAATGATATCACCATCCATGCCCAGACATAACAAGTCAGACAACTACAGCACTGCAATTAAGACACAACAACAACACACTCTACATCTAGGCCTAGAAGGTCTAGGCCTAGGCCTAGATCTACATCATGACATGGAAATCACGCGGCAGCGCGCCACGGTTTCACTGAACTTCTGAAGCACGCACGCAGCAACAGAATTTCGTATTCGTACTCACGTGGATTTCTACACTTGGGACCACGCTCTCACAAGAATCACACAATCATTTTAAATACATCACTATTTACAACTTACTTGTGCTTGGTGATTTCTGTGTGTGTCCTTCTTCTTCGATATTCGGATACCTGAACATTTCAGATCGCGTTTTACGACACATTGCAAGGCGTCCACATTGTCTAATTCCCAAGAAAACGTCATTTTCAGACATTGGTGTTTGCGATGTCAACTTGTGTACAGGTATTTGAAAAGCCCACGGATATTAACTGCACGCCTTTTGATTGGCTATTCAGCTAAACTGGGTGTTACCCTCCTCCTGCCCTCAATCAACGAACTCTAACTTGGATTTCGATGCCCTCAATGCATGATCACTGATCTATGAGGCGCCGACAAAGTAGACTGAAAAAGTATATTGTTCTAACTGATAGACCTACAATAAACTTATGAACAACGTGAACGTATCCGGGGAACATATAAGTACAAAGGATAGCAATTCTGTTTTATCCATGAAACAGTCTTCATTCAATACTTTTTCAGGCTGAGAGAGAGAGAGAGAGAGAGAGAGAGAAGGAGAGAGAGAAAAGTCAAGTGCAGGGAATCCAAAACAGTTAATCAAATAAAACCTAGTATAATGCGAAACTCAATCAAAGTTAAAATTAATTCAAATATTTGGGCGGGAAATCCTTATATAAAACAACTATTTTTTTTCTTCAAATTTTTGAGTTATATATAATTATTATTGTTGTTGTTGTCGATGTGTAAGGGAAAAGGGTCCGAAGTACAATATGTGAATGGCTTTCTCGAAAAAAAAGGGGGGGGGGGCTATTGCCAAGGGGGGTGGGGGCAGCGTAGAAAAAATATCCGGGAGCCTTGGGGGTGGTCATTCCTCAAAGGGATTTTTGACAAATACAAAAATGATAGTGGAGCCAGCCCCGACAGCGTAGTGGTACCCGATTGCGTTTCACCCAATTCCTAAATGTTTTAATGTGTATCCTATTATAAGCCTACTGTTTTTAAAACGGTATCATTTTAATTTTCATTTCCCAGCATTATTTTCAACTGTCTTGGAGTTGTTGTCCTCTCCGTAAATGACATCAAGTACAGCCCCATCCTTTTCTTTTCCTGTAGGGATATTGAAACTGCTTGTCCTCCCAGACAAGGAGAGAGCTAGCCTCTCCTGTACAATGCATCACAATAATGCGGTCATTGTTGCAATGTCAAGATTTTTTTTTTTTTACCCCTTTGGTAATCCTCGCATGCATTCCCTGCTGAATTAAATAGAGTGCTGAACCAGCTCCGCTTTTATAGCTTAATTTTTTTAATGTTCCTTGGTGCTATGTCGGAAACCCACTGCCTATCGATTCAGCCTGAAAAAGAAATAAAGATCTGTACCCCATCACCATGTTTTATTAGTGCTGTTACACTGTGTATCGTATTTTGCATAGTACACTGTCTTTTTAAAGCATTGAAACTCTCGCATAAAAAATATGATTATATCCGGGGGTTATATACCCGGTGCAACCTATTGATAACATAATATTGAATAGCAAAGCTTCCCAATTTTTAATGAAATGACATTGAAGCTTTTGTTTGATGTTTGCCTGACTTGCATACCTGGTTCCCTGACTTAGCATCCAGAGTTTCCAGACATGCAGTCAGGAAGTAGATTGTATTGAAGTGATTTGTAGCTTTTATTTAAGTTATTAGATGTCTGCCTGCATGACTTGCATACCTGGTTCCCTGACTAACCAACCAGGCATGCAGGCAGCTAGGTAGCAGGTTTCTCAACCTTTAATTGTAAGTGATGCAAATGTTTGTACTCATGCTCTAATTATGTCTGGATTGACAGGCAGGAAGTAAGGATAAAAGTAGGCCTCGATCGTGTAGTCACGGTGACACAAAGCAGATAGACTATACAGCCTGTAGAGAAGGATTTACCTGCAGGGAGTGGCAAGATTACCAATAGATATTCTCTTAGACCGCCTGTGGAGATTGTACTGCACGCACATGATGTTGGAAAGTTTGGTCCAAACAGCTACACATGTATTTCTAGTAATACAATTTATAATGAGGCAATAATACAATGATGTACTATAAATATTAAAGTGCTCAAAAATGCAAACTTTTAGCATTCTAAAATAAAAATTTCTCACTCGGTGGCTCTGCTCCCTTCAATATTAATAAAAGCAGTTATGTCTGTAAAAATCCTGTCTACACAAAGGCATGGGAAGCAAGGGGGCAAATTCTTACATTTATAAAATGGTTGTGGAAGTTATTACCCTGCCCCAGACAATGAATATTTTGCAATAAAGCTTCATCAGCATAATTATAAGTGCTCTAAATTTATTGCATCATCCCCCCCCCCCAAAAAAAAAAAAAAAAAAAAAAATCCCACTTATTGCTCGCTACACTCCCCTACATAATTTAGTAAAAGTATGTTTACAATGTAGAAATTCTGTCTCCAAAATACACCGGAAGCGAGGGGGCAGACTTTACCTCTGCGGTGTATGTGTGTGTGTGTGGGGGGGGGGGGATATTGTTCCTGCCTCCTACCCATCAAAAGCCTAATCTCTTTACACATAAGGGTTGGGGACACTTTTACTTCTGCCCAACAAAAACTTACGACATTATTAAATGAATGAAGAGTGTGCACTGTAATATTCAGAATCGTAACAGAATCCAATGACCGGGGTAGTAATATCGTAACCGCGTTGTAACTTGAAAAGTGTTGTATGAGAAACAGGTATTAATATTATTGTTATCAATTTTATTTGTCAATATAACCATACAAAAGATTATCTAAAATACTTAGTGTCAACATCAACAAAAATCTAAATTTTCTATCTCGGGTCGAGTACGCTCCCTCGACTATATTATGGACCCTTTCTTCCAGATGCGCCAAATGAGGTGGCAGAGGATTCTCTCTACCAAGGGGTGGCTAAATTGCTTTTCCACTTTACAAGACACAACTTTGTAGTATATCGATTCGTTTTTAAATACAAACTCTCTACTACAAAACCCTCGAAAACGCGGGTGGGGGAGAGGGGAGCCATGTGTTCTGTACAAACAGAGGGAGCTCTTTCCCCGTTCCCCTCGCGAGAAAAATATATTCAAAAGGCATCATTGTTTGCAGTACAGCCTGGTGCTTAATTTAGAATACAGAGTTTCAGCAGTCCGAACTGTTTTTTTCTCACTAAATCGCTTATACGGCCCCTCATAAGCATTGTATATTGTTTACTGATTTTGTTTCTTTTGAAAGTGCCAAATAAATAACAATAATAATAATAATAATAATAATAATATATTATAGACGGATATACGGACGGGATATATTATAAACGGATATACAAACTGCATACCTGGACCTCACCTCAGGTGAATGAACAAAACTTATTTGCATTCATTAAGTGCCCTCTCCCAGGTTTTTAAATTATCGAACCGATGCTCATCTTCGTCATTCTGAAGGATGATTATCTGTGACATTTACTGACGCTTTTAACGACCACATGTGTCTCTTCATCATTATAACTTGAGATAATATTGTTTGAGGTCTGATCAATGTCATTCCTGTCATTAATGTTATAATGATTCCGATTTGAGTAGAAAGACGCCTGCACCCCTCAGGGCTCAAAGGGACCCTTAAAGTGGAAATTCAAAGAAAATCACAAATATGTCAGCTAATGTATCACTAGAAACTGGTAAGCTAACAGATGGCCATCCGGTCAACTACATATCGGGTGATTTATAAAAATACAAATACAACCACCTCCATATCATCTGGGATATACGAGAGATTCGCCAGAAAAAAACACGATATTTTAATGACGTCACATAATGGACCAATACTGCCCAAGCAGACGACATCCCATAAGGAATGAACATTATTGCAAAGCTATTATTTCTCAAATTATAATGAGTTATTGTATATAAATGTGATGGCATTTCAAACCATTCAAAAGGGATATGAAACCGATTCTGACTACTAAAATCTTTTGTTTGTAGATAAACAGGATAGGGGTTAATTAACAATCAAAGAAACCAGACTTTCAAATTGAAAAAAAAACCCGGGAATGATATTAAGGACGGCATTTGTTCCCTCTTGAAACGCCGAACATACCGCGGTGTGTGCAGCTGAATATACAATGGCGTCTTATTTCGTTTACAAGCGACAGATTCCTTTATTTTTTTATCGCTGCATTTGTCATCAAAATAAAAACATGCGCGGGGTTTAGAGTGAAGCAATAGATTATACATTTAGCCTGACGGTAGTGAAGTAAGAAAAAACTCAACAGAAGATGAAAAAACAGGCACTGAAAATCTGTGAGATGTCATGGGAAATCGTCTGCTTGTGCAAATCATGTCAATCCTGTAATCTTACACATTTCAGCAGCGTTCGGAGAGCTCTTCAGGTGCTATGCCGGGGCTGCATTTAAGCGTTTTGTAATTTATAATAATCATTACTTCGAATGTTTCTTGCATTGAATTTTGATAACCTTCAATGTCGAATCAAAGTTTCAACTTTGTAATAATGAAATTAGAGTTAGTTTTTTTTTTTAAATCAATGAATATCTACTTTAACAACAAGTACCCGATTGCGTTTGTACCCAATCCCTAAATGTTTTAACTTCATGCGTATCCTACTGGTTTTAAAACGGTGTTATTTTAATTTTCATTTCCCAGCATTATTTTGAACTATCTTGAAGTTGTTGTACTCTCCGTAAATGACATTATACAGCTCCAGCCTGCTCTTTTTCTGTAGGGATATTGATAGTGATTGTCCTCCCAGACAAGGATCGAGAGAGCCTCCCCTGTACCTATAAGGAAAATGCATAAAAATAGTGCGGTCATTGTTGCAATGTCACAAATGCTTTTTTTTTTTTTTTACCCCTTTGGTAATCCTCGCATGTAGTGACAAAATATTCCCTGCTGAATTAAATAGAGTGCTGAAACAGCTCCGCTGTTATAACTTAATTGAATTTGCTATTTTTTTAAAGTGGTCCTTGGTGCTATGTTGGAAACCCACTGCCTATCGAGGCTTTAATTAACAGCCTGAAAAAGAAATAAAGAAATGTCAGTACCCCGTTATGGTGTTTTATTAGTGCTATTACACTCTGTATCGTATTTTGCATCGTACACTGATAGTACATTGTCTTTTTTAAAGCATTGAAACTCTCGCATTAAATAATATGATTATATCCGGGGATTATTTACCCGGTGCAACCTATTGATAACATAATTGAATAGCAAAGCTTCCCTATTAAGTGGTGCCATTGTAATGAAATGACT